ATGTACATGTACTTGTACATGTATGTACTGAAAATGTACTTGTCTACTGACGTTCCTGTACCGGGTACACGTACCGGTACCAGTACCAGTACATGCATGAATAAATGTGAACAGTGTACAAGGTACCAGTGCATGTACACCTGTAACTTGTTTGACAAAAAAGAAATTGGTGTACTCAGTAAATATACACTGTGTTCACTGTAAAACCATGCCCTTGAATATAAACTGAATTTGAAGACCTTGGCTGTTGTGTTACTCAAAATATTCTTTTCACAAAGTACACTAAGGGACACTGGAAAAGGCTGGCATACTTTGACATGTTTGAATTGCAAGGAAAGTTTAAAAAAGGATGACAAATCTGTTTTTCTTTGGACTATTTTTTTCCAAATGTTGTACTTGTACCATGGAGCTATTAAACACATGTACATGTACACATCATACCATGTACGGCTGTACTAGAAATTGATACGTAATGCACATACATGTAGTTTGTGCCTTGGCTACATACATGAACATACATTGTATGTACAAATATGTACAAGTACACTGTACATGTACACATGTACCATATTAGTGTAATTTACATGTAAGTCTCATGTTGTAGACATAGACTATTAGCCTTCACCGCTTTGAGGGGATAATATCATTTGTGTGGAAAGTCGGAATATTACATGTACATGTACTCATGTGCATAGATTGTACCAGTACATGTACAGGTACATTGTACACGGATGTGTACACAAGTTGACTGGATAGTACATGTACAATGTACTGGGTAGGCTAGGACATCCTTGGAACCTTCACGTACATGTAGCTGTATGGGATAGTAAATGTACAATGTACATGTACCAGGTACTGAGGCTAGCAGTACAATGTAGGACATCCTTGGAACCTACAGTAGCTGTATGGGACATGTACATGTACCTTTCTAATATGAGGGGCATACAGTCTGCCCATGTGTTTTTATTCCTCCATGGTCTGCCCCACTTTACAATCAGGGGAGGATGGGCTATTAAATCATCTTTGTCGTGGTGAGAAAAAATTAAAGTGGATTTTGAGGAAGTTTTCCTATTGTACTGCCCAATAAATCCTGAGGTAAATTTCAAGGTACCGGTACATGTACCGGTACATGTACAAGTACATGTATGTATTAAAAATAAGATTAAAAATAAGATTATGAAAGTGTACAGGAACTGTTTGATGAAATTTGCAAATTTGTTCTAAGTTCACTCGCTTGAACTTAGGCATTCAGGGAAACCTCACATAAAAAAAAGAAGTTATCTCTACCTGTGAAACAAAATCCCTGCCGTTTCCCATTAAAGGATACCAATAACTGCAATGAATTTTTCTTGGGTACAGTCATTCTGCAACTTTCTACATGTACCAGTACTTGTACAATGTGCTACCGGTAGTAGGCCTACTCCCCTCAGTGTATGAAAACTTTTTTACACACCTGTTTGGTTAATTAAAGGCATGAATGCATTTCATTTGTTTAAATGAAAAGTGCACTTTTTAAAAACTTTTCAAATTGCCCAAATGCCGGTACTTTCCTGGAGGGCGCTGTTGCTTTGATATCATCTGGGGAACACATGTTTCAGTGCATACGTGTACAATGATACAATGTAGGTTTTCTGTTCAAATTGTGAACCCAGAATTTACCAATGGACACGTATGTACATGTACTTACTGAAAACATTTAGGAGGAGGGAGTAGTTTCCTATGCATACATGTATACAGTGTATAAACAATAATAAACAAGCAAAGAAAACAAAATATCATCATATCATCTACAAAAATGCAGTACTGGTACATTTTCATTCACAGACCAATGTAACATTGACGATTTCTTCCTAAATACAAGATGACATCACAGTTCTGCTAATGGGAATCTCATTAGCATAAAAACCAAAAATGGCAGTAAAATACCCTTTGAGAAAGTCAAACGAAAGTTAAAATCGAGTTATTAACTGAGACACAAAGATGGATTGTAAAAGTTTGTATTACATGTAAATTGATTGCGCCTTTTAAATCACAGTACTTCTCCTTCACTGAGTTCTTTCCTGGCCTTGGAAATGTGAAATGCTTTCTGTTGTAATCTCTGAGCAGCACGTTTTGGTAGTCTTTCTAGTAGTGAAAGGGATAATTTGATCAGCTGCAAAAAGCACTTTGTCAAGGCATCAGCCCTGCCAGTTGGGTTTAATGCAATTTTCTCCTCAAAAGCTTTTATTGAGATCGAGATCCTGCAATCTGGCATGTCCGAGCTAATGGAAGAACATTTTGAAATGTTGCGTGAAGCGCACTTCTGTGATTGTGGGAATTGAATTGCTTACAGTCACACATGAGAGCAGTGTCTTGGTACATTTGTATATGATGAGTGTGTCCTAAAGAAAAATTGTGTATATTACACATGCATGTACCCTTATTGTTAATGTACATTGTACATTTGCATAATTATACCGGTACATGTGTGTACTAGCGCTGTGCCGAATATGGTATTTGTGTGATTATCAAACTTGTCAAATATTCATAAATACTGGTACCTCAGACAGTTTCCCTATTCAACAACGTGCAGCGTTCATTCTCCTGAGCCGGTCTTAAAAGCACATACCGGTACATGTGCCGGTACATGTACATAATGTACATGAATTTTTGGTGGTAGCTGGCCGGCCCAGTATGATTGTACTGATTGTATATTGTACCGGTACATGTATTGTACGGTACAGTAAAGGAGTCCCTCTCGGCCACCATACATTTAGTTGGGCACGTATTTTCAGATGACGTCATTTCTGTATTACATGTATACACTGGGAACCAGAAAACTAGGTGGTGTTACATTTCTACATGTATGTACTTCTACATGGACATACATGTACATGTACATCCTTACGTGTACATGTACATACATGTATGCACATGTGTACATGTACAGGCCCAAACTGCTTTTAAACATTAAATATAGCCAAGGGGGGGGCGGTCTACCGGTATTTCAGTGTTGGCAGTGGCGGTACATGTATGTACGCATGCAGTGGCAATGGACATTGCCACTGCATTGCGTTATACTGCTACACGTACGTGTACATGTATGTACCGGTACATCATTTGTAGGGGGAAAAAGTGAGAGTAAAAAAAAATTAAAGCTTCGTCAGCAGATCACTTTTGGAGCCAGCCCCTTACCAGAAACAGGAGATTTTTTCGGATCTATTTACATGCATCTCCAGGTTCCTGAGGATAACTACAAGTTTTTGGTCTTACATGTACATGTACATGTTAATGGTTACGCTGTCAAAAAACTCCCTTAGTCGTTGCCCTTGGCAACGGCTTCACAAAACAGTATTGAACCCCATTACATTATCATTACGTTATCTCAGCAAGGGGCACAGGTGTAGTACATGTACCGGTATGTACATTGTACATGTAGATGATGAGATTTGATGAGATCTGAGAATGTAGTGGTAATGAATGCCTGGATAATGGATTGATCTACATGTACAAAGTAAGACTCAACATGTACAATACAAACAGGTACTGTACATGCACATATCGGTACAAGTTCTATGAAAGATGGTGAAAAACAGTCACTCCTTGAAATACCAAGACTTACCATATTAATGTTTGTTCTCTTAATGCAGACACTACAAGAAAGCCAAGACCTGGAGAGCAGGATGGAATCCGTAAGTGATTGGAAGCATCTCTCAGGAATCCTTTATCAAAGGATACAGTGTAGCTCCACACATACTGTACCTGTACATGTATATGTGTATTTTCATACCAGTATGTTCATTTTTGCTTTCATGCCAAGTACATACAGTGGACATGTACAGTGTATGACCCTGTTCCTTTGGCTGCAAAAAGAACTGGAATGTGATTTTCAGGCCTGTATTGCAAATTTGTAAAACAAGAACAGTTGTGGAATTTTATGAATATAAAGACTTGCATCGCAAAATGCTATCCTCCATTTTTGACAAGCACAGGAATGAGTCAAGATGATCGATACATTCTTCATAAAATATCTGTTAATTGATCCATTGTCACATGAATTCTGATTTGTACTTTTGAAGATGTGATAAAATGTACGCCAGATTTTTCTTACATGTACCGGTACAGTATCATTTCCTTTATTTTAGCAGACATTAATCGTGCATTATCTCAAAATTAACAAAATGGATAAACAGCACTTTGCGATGAAACTCTTTATGTGTACATGTACATGAACATGTAGAATAAGAAACCGGTACATGTATATCTGACTTTATAAATCTGCAGAAGTGAGGAATTAAAGTTTTACCAGAATGAACCATGGATAGAGTGCTAATTTCGGTCATTGAAACGTCAAGATGGTCATCAGTTTTTGACAGTCAATGCACTGCGTTCAATTTCTCCCAGATTACCACTACACCACACGGGAATGGATGGAGAATGCAATCACGAATGGGGAGTTCATAGAATCAGCAGAATTCTCAGGCAACCTTTATGGGACAAGGTACCATACATGTACATTAATTGATACACTACATGTAATGTGCGTCATGCTAGTCCCTCTGTAAGAAGATTTGACTGCATGACTAAAAATTCCTCCCTTTTGGTTGGCAGTCCATCCAGGCTCATTATTTAGCTTTCGGATTTTATTTGTACCCTAATTGAAAACCGTTGCCAAGGCAATGGACATTTTTGTTCAGTATGTACATGTGTATACGTACATGTACACATGTAATCTGTTTCCATGGCTACTGCATCTACCAGGTACAAGTACGTGCTAATTTAATATTCCAGACTCCACCACAAAAGAAGTACTGTACATGTACTTAGTAAATTCTCATCAATGTGACAGCCTGTTTTCGGTACATGTACATGTAAGCTAATTATATGCTGAAAAGAGCCAGGGAAGTACACTAATTTAAATCACAATTTAAATCGAATTTTTTTTTTTAAATCATCAAAAATCATTTAAATCAACATATTTTAATTTTTTGGGGAAAAAGGCAGAAATGTTTCCATTTTTGAATCCCTTTTTGCTGATTGGACAAGTTTGCAGGTTTTGCAAAGTTTAAACAAATCCCCCCTCTGTGAGCTTTCCAGTTCCTTCTAGTATTGAAGAAGTACGAATGCACACGTGTTACGGTACAATCCGGGTTGGCAAGATTTTCTGTTTAATTCAGTCCACTTGTTTTGATTCAAATCAGCTATTTGGATTCAGTAAGTGAATTTGATGCAAAGGATTTATCATCATGATTTTATTTTACTTCATTTGAATAGCCTGATTTCACAGTTTGACATTGTAACAGGGTACAGTTGTGCATCTACACGTACCTTTTACATGTACAGTACATGTATAGACAGGTACACATGTATTTTATTGAGATGAGAAATGTTAGTCATTATGCAGTATAACTAAAACCACTAAATACCCCTTAATACATGTACATGTAAATGCCCTTTATAAAGTGATTTTTTTAATCAAGCCTAATTTAATGCTTTGCAGAGCTGGATCACAAACAAAACAAGACTACATTGTAGAGCAAGGTAAAATATCGGTACCAGCATTTTGTACATGTACCGGTACATATATATGTATAACTACTGTGTCAGCAGATTCTTGTAAACTCTTATATGTAGGTTTGTGTCAAAACTTAGAGTCGGTTTAAAACCAGGTGGCAGGTTCCTCAAAATATGGACCATTAGATGTTCAACTTTTGGGGTTAATTTTTCCTGAAGTGAACAGCAGTGAATTAATTAATGAGGGAAGTCATGGCTGATATTTGGAACAATGATGGCCGTGTCCATCTTTCAATAATGGGAGTTAATTAAAGTCTCGAATGTCAGCATTTTTGATGAACGTGAAGAACCTGTTGAAATCCCGGCCAATAAAATTTACCAAGGAGTGATAATCCCCTTGGTCATTTTACACAGATCCATATGGGGTGAAAGGTGATAATATTTATGCATATTAAAACCATAATCACAAAATTAAAACATACCTTTCACAATTAGTCGGGTCCCAAAGTCGGCAGTTGCGAACGTCATTTGATTCTGTCAAAACAATTGACTGCAAAAAACGGCAAGTAAAATCAAAATCGATGTACAACACAAGCTTTAAAAAAGTGCCAAAAGGTACCCCCAATCCATCATCCTTTTACAACTGGACTGATCACATTTTCTTTAAGTACGTTTCCGAAAATCGCAGTCCAAAATACCCATCATGGCAATTTTGCGGCGTCCGTTATTATCTCACGGTAACATTAGAGAAATGTTTCGCTGCATCGTGGACTGTTTGATCTTTGACATCAATAGTGCACCCTCTTTTTCATTCGATATTCATGAGCCCCTCCACGGAATGGCAACACTTCAGGATTTTTCTCTTCGTACCAAGGTTTCTCGAAAGAAAATCTGTCATACTGAATGACGTAAAAAAAAATGGCATCTGAGACATATCGGGTAAAATACGATTCGTGATGAAAATCTACTGTGCAGAGTTGTTGATTTTAATGTAATTTTCAGTGGGGATATCTTTAAAATAAACGGCAAATGAACATCGCGCATGGAATTTTCAAGCACTACATGTGACTGCGTTATTTCTTTGGTGCTTTAAAATACATGTACATGTACGTCAGATGAAAAAGATACTGCATTCTCCTTGTTGAGAGAGGTTTTGAAATCAAGTCCTCCCGTGCAAATACTTTGACGTAAAATTTAAATGACTTCAACTCCATTTATATTGCACTGGTAGCCAACCAAATGTCCACCATATGTACACAGTATGCCCAATTATCCCCAAATAATCATATTTATAAATCTGAAGGTGCTAATTTGTATTTTACATGATCAAAATCAATCCTTTAGAAGTTTTGAAAAATGACATATAGAGTTGCATTTTGGTCCATTTTATGAAGAACATGCCAGGTACACACTTTATCCTTGGTACTTGTACATACATGTACGTACATACTTGTCTCTGAAGGAGGTGTCTTCTCTGACATGTTTGAGGAAACATGCACCTGTTATACTATATGCATTTCACCAAGGCTAAGACATAGTGGTTTGTGAATTGATCAAATGACTTGATTTAGATTCCTTAATTCAAATCCAAATTTGTTTAATTTTGTAACAAAACAAATAAATAAAAGAAAACTATTAGATGTGCAGCTACGTGTAATTTGCTTGCTTTTGATTAGACAATTGAGCCAACTTGTCTCCAATTTTAATAAAAAATTATAAAAATTCATTCAAATGAAAAAATCGGAAAGATAGAAAAGAACGATAAAACAGAAACGTTAAACAGAACATAAATTGAAACTTTATAAATAAAAGCGTGCATAAACCCAGTGAGAATAGATCTAACAGTACACTGCTTTTCCTTTTGTTTCTGTGTTTGTTTCATTTTTGACAGTAAGAAGGCTGTTCAGGACGTACTGAATCAAAACAAGATTTGCATTTTAGACATTGAAATGCAAGGTGTCATCCAAATCCAGAAGACCAATCTCAAGCCAGTATACATCTTTGTCAAACCACCAAATATGAAAGTTCTGGTGAGTCATGTCCTTACTCATTTATTTAACCCCTCATAAAAGGTCAAGCTACACTGTTGGTCATGTTGGTTAAATTCCCAAAAAAGGAACTGCCAAATAACCCTTAAATGTCTTGCTTGAAAGAAAGTAAATCTGTGAAATATTTCTGCCCAGAAATTACAGAATAATGTTAAATGTTGTTGAGATATTGGTAACAAAAATTTGTGATATTTTTTGACTATAATTCAAAAATATTTGCAGTTCATGATAAAATATATGTGATTGTTGTGTGATTGTGATTTTTCTTAAGTGATTTGTCGTGTCAGTGTTTATCAGGAAAAGTATATATAGATTTTTTTATTTTTAAAGGGAGCATGTTACCGGTTCATTTAAGCAAAAACAGAATGACAAGTACATGTACATTTTGTTACATTAAAGAAGAGTACATGTGAAAAATTGCACAATATTTGTATCGAAGAAACAAGTATGGACCCTTTAAACAAATGATACCTAGTCTGATTCTGTTTGTAACACTATCCTCATGCATGTACTTATTCATTCACGTACATGTTCCAATCAACAAGAACACCTGTTCAGTGGTGACAGCTTATTTTTCTGTCCATTGTGGAAAACCATGTGCAAGACTCACTGAGTTTATTTGTACATCATAACAAGTACATGTACAGTGTAAGAGCAGTGAAGAGTAACTCTCACTTGTTTATTCTGTCATCCATGCACAGGTACTTTATCCATTCATTTATTTTTGGGGGGATTTGTGTTTGTTCCATTGGAGGTCATATACTGGTAAAAGGGTTTCTTAATTCTCTAGCAAGAATTTTTTATCGAGAAATCTTGGGCCAATAAATACCAGATTCCATGTTGCATAATTAAACAGGAAGAGAGGCTAAGGAATAGAAAAACAGACACTGAGGAAGCGATACAGAAAAGGCTGGAGACAGCAAGGCGAGAGATGGATTTCAGTGAGTATATTCCAAACACAACAACTGAATACATACCACTTCATGGTTGCAGTGGCAAAGTGTGCTCATCACTTGGTGTATTTGTAATCAGTGGGTTCGAAAAAACTTGCTGTTGTGGTGTGACCGAGGATGTATGACAACGCAGTAGAAATTAAATTCACAATCCAATACATACGCACATCCCTTAATTTTCGCAACTGATTGGATCATTTCAGAATCATTCATTTTGGGCCTGATTTCTGCAGAGGATTCTAGCAGGGTCTGTTTAGTGGACATACATGCACACGTGGCGCATGCATGAACATGCAGAACGCCAAACCGGTTCAGTCATGTATTCCTCATGCATCATGAATTGCCCAACTAGTTCATACGGTGGTCTGCCTAAGTTGTATGATTTTGTCCCCGACAGCAACTTTAATAAATATCTCTTCAATGGATACTGCAACATCTATTCACTTGGCCAAAGGCAGTACAAGCCTTCCTTCTACATGTACCGGTAGTGTGGTTCAGTGTTGTAGTTATCAAGCACCCAAAGTCTATCACAAAGTCCAATACACTAGACTCAGTTTGAACTCTAATCACAACCTCATCAAATGCACCGCCACAAAAGCATTCTTCTGTTCACCCTGTTACATACTGTCTGACTGATCATGAGATTGGCTTTGTGTCAAATCTCAACCGCAATACTGGTATGGTATGGTGACACAGTAGACTCAAGTACTTTGTTAGATAGAGGAGTTTCATCATGTTCATTGCATTTTCCCCCACCCTTCCCACCAAACCAATCTCCTCTGGTACCGGGTACATAGTATTTCTTTTTAGTTCTTAACAGTTTTTTAATGTTTCAGGCATGCTAAGGGTTACAAACAATGCCAGTGGCGATTGGTTCAGGGATGGGTGCACTGAACCCCCTCCTAGACCGTGGACCATCGCATGGCACATGCTTACATGTATTTACAAATCACAGTTTGAACCAAACACAGTTGCAGTAGGTATTTTACATGTAATGCCACACACTTGCTTTAATAGTTTTCAAGTTGGCACGAGTTACTTATAAATACTTACTTATAACAACTACACATGGATGTTGTGTTTTTCCGTCATTTTTTGCCCTCTTACATGTAATTTAACACATACATGTACATGTGTTAATAAGGAAAACTAACATGAAAACCCTCCACTTTTCCCTCTGACCACTAACATGTCATCCGTTCATGATTCCTTCCCAACCCCTCCCCTTCCTCCGCTACATGCGTACACATCAGTCAGCCAGCAGGAGGGGAGTACCGGCCACACCATAGTGAACGATTGTGTGGACTTGGCCTACCTAGGGCTGAAAGCAGTCCTCCTGGATGAAATCCAACGACTGGGGGAGGCTCGCGATCTGCAGAAAACATAGCACTGGTTACTGCTAGCTTCATTGTAGATACAGTGTAGGTATGTCTCCTGACAAGGAGTGATTCACACTATAGACTGATAAGAAGGTTGCCATCGGCAACACACATTGTGCTCAGTTTGCACTGCATCAATGAGAAAAGTCAACTTTAATTTGTGAGACTACGCCATATGGTATTTATAATTTGCACAGGGCAATACGGTATGTACTTCTACGGAGCAGGGTTTTTTGGTATTATATATGTCAGTGGCACTTTTAATGTAGTGTTAAAAAATATCAGACATACATGTGCAAACAGTCTTTTGACCTATCCTCTGATTTTACACCACACATTTTGTACTGACAATTTCCTGCTCATTCCTACTTTTGCATCCTTATGTGCACACTAACATGCATCGCCGTCTGCATCGTTTGCAGTGTTTCTGTATTTATATCTACGTACACAGTCACAGGCATGCCACATTGAGTTCATCAAACAAAGTCTCTGTCTTGTTTGCTCAGCATGATGCAGGAAAGTGAAAGTGGTTTTCATTGTATACTCAATGGCCAGAATTTTGTTGAAGAGGAAATAGACTTTTATGATCTAGATCTTCAAAAACGTTGAGTCAATCTCACTTCTACTGGCATATTCTAAATATTTGGATAAACATGAAGTTTATGTCAGTTGTTTTATATGGTAAGTATCTAAAAATAGCCCTTTTGTCATTTTGGCAGTGAACGGAAATGTACGTACATATGTACAAATTCACAACAGCAATCTCTTATATGAAACCCCTTGTACATGTAGCACAGCACATAACATTGTTTATATCTGTTGCTCAATTACAGCACTTGCAAGAGCAGGTTAATTCACCCCAGGTCCCTGGACAGTTGCCTAGCAACTGTTGCCATGGCTGCATTGATTCCTGTTTTCGCAGACTCGCTTTTTTTCCCCTGACTAATCCATTTAATATTTTCACCCCAGTTCAGCAACAGACTGAATCTCCCAACTCTCACATCATCGTGAACGATGACGTGGAAGTCGCCTACGAAAAACTCAGAGGAATACTCAGCAATCCTCTCTCAGCACTCAAGGATCTCAAGTACAAGATGAAGACACTTATCGACCCCCCATAGGGCTTGGAATAAAATACAGATTTCTTTTAAAAATGTTCCTGATTTCATTACATTTCTGAAGAATGCATGTGTGCAAAGCTGAAGCAGGTTTGGGTTTTTTTTTTTGCTTTTTTACACTAACAAGAATGATTAGGGTTTTGCCCTAACCCAACGTATATATTAATAAACACTGTATGCTCAGTGCTTGTCCGAGAGCTTGCGAAAAAAGTCACAAGCTTACTCGGGTGGGACTCGAACCCACGACGTCCTGCTTACTAGTGCAGACGTCTTAACCACCACTCGTGGGTTCGAGTCCCACCCAAGTAAGCTTGTGACTTTTTTTTGCAAGCTCTCGGACAAGCACTGAGCATACAGTGTTTATTAATATATAGGTTAGGTAAGGGCAAAACCCGTTATATAAATTAACATCTCCCCCACACAAAAATACATCTTGAAGAATGATTAGCATATGGTTTGTCTTGTATGCAAAAGGGATTTGCTTGACATTTTCTTTAGTTATGCATCAGTTTACCACTGTTAATATATTCTTTGAAATCATCGGGGGGGGAGGACAGTAAATGCACTGCCTAGGGTATTCCTCTAGCTTTATATTCACAATGTGTTGTTTTAAAAGGACCCCAAAATTGATTTGAATTCTAATAGGCTCTGAAACCTGAAACAAATTTGGGAACTCCTAACTTCTGAACTTTGTGGCCATTTTTTTTCAGCCATCAAGGGAGTAGGTGCCTACACGTACACATGTATCAGTCGCATTGTTTTTTCCTTGTACGATGTGCAGTGAAAATTTTTTTTATCCTACCATTGTTAAGGTTCCATTGTGAAACTCCCGTTCTGAGATTTTGTATTCCAAATGAAAACCGGATAAGATTTCAAGGAATCCAGAATTTCCTTGTACATGTACAGTGTTTTAATTCTACTATTGTTAAGGTTCCATTGTGAAACTCCTGTTCTGAGATTCTGTATTCCAAATGAAAAACAGGATTTGATTTCAAGGAATCCAGAATATAGGTATACATCCAGAATCCAGTCTAAAGCTTTGAAATTCAAGATCACTTTACCTTGAAAGTATATTTGAATGTCCATTTAGAAAAGTTTAATTCTATTCACTGACTCGTACTTGTATGTAAGACAGTAATTACATGTATGCTCAGTATAAAGGTAGTATTGTTCAGAGTCCCTAAAGGGACATACATGTATCTCGTACACACGAAATACTTATCTCATGCACACAAAATCTCTTTTAAAAATTGAACTCATGCAATTATTTTGTGCGCAAGCGATAATAATTTCATGCAAAAGTGATTTACCGAGCATGTTGTGCGCACAAGATATGTGTAATTATTTTTTGCAAATAGTTTGCTCGTGTAATGTTCCTAGTGTTAAACATTTTCGTTTTTGTCAAATAGTTTTAATTTTGTGAATTAACAAAAAAGGAAGGTTCATCATAGATGATGTCAGATATGATGACGTGCACATGCAGCATGCATCAGTCCTACATGTATTATGGGATGTTAGGGGCCTCGAGCTCGACCAAGAGAGGGCACTATTTTCTTCACAATGGAGGCTCCCGGGGTCAGAACTGAACTTTACTGGTTCATGAACAACTAGGAAATGCACACGTCAAGGTCGTATTACTACCAACAAATTGAACACTCCCGACCAACACAGCTCTTTTTTAGCCGATGAGGGGGGGTGCTTCTTTTCGAGGCGGATTGGCAGGTGACATTGTGTTCTTTCTTAGCATACATGTACATGGAAACCATTAATCACACAAACCTTTTTGCCAGCAATTCAGCAGGTCCATGGAATACTGGCCCTATGTACATATAGCTGCAAAATTAAGTTTTTATGATTGATAGTTGCATGTACTTTTTTCATTTTTTTGTCTGCGTGAGTGTGTGTGTGTGTGAGACACCTGTACTGGTCATAAATACTTAGTTGCAACTTAATTGGAAGAAAAATGTTTACATACCAAATACTTTAATATTGCATTTGATAATGCATGTATATGAAAAATACATTTGAATGTTTAACAGTCATTTGGAACAGTTGTATTGTACATACTGCTGACAGAGGTTTAAAAAAAATAAGTTTTGGAATACTTTTGAAATAGAGCTTGAATATAATCTTGGTGTTCAGATGTCAAAGAGTTTACACTGTGATCATGGTCATGTGCAACTGTAATCATAACTCTAGTATGAAATGCTATTTAAAATAATTAATATTCCATAGACTTAACCTTACAAGTGTATGCATGATTGTTTCATGGTTAAATATTAATTATTCTGAGCAGCCAATTACAAACTAATGTATGGAATAGTTGTTAAAACAACATACACAGTCAGTGCATTGTAATTTATGCACCTCATACATATTCATGATCCAGTGCTAGAATGTCACTGGTCCATTCACTATTTTTACTGTTAACCAGGTGCGGGCGAGTCAAATACCTTGACTCGTGGTTCAGTGGGAGTGGTGCCTGTATGCATGCACAAGGATTGCCCTAGCTACACTACCACAGGAATGAATGCACATACATGTTCTACTAAAGCTTCCCTGATCATTCTGCAGCAACCTCTCCCTTGCTCCTGAAATTTTGATGAATAATAACTTGTTGGAATGTACAACTGAGTATGTCTGAGGTACTGTGAAAATAATACATACATTGTATATGTGTAGCACGTGGTTTATTTCGGGTGGATAGTTGATAATACATGTGAGCTTCCTCGTTGTGGAAAAACAACAAACTAGATTTCATGTGAACTTAAAATGCCAAGGGGAACTAAAATCAACTATCCACTCTCAAGCTATGTTTTATATTTGTTTACTGTTTACTTGATTTAAATACGATTGGTTCACAATAGTGCGCCTCCAAGAGTTTGCATTGCGTTGTCCAGTCACAATGCAAGAAATCTGTTGTCCCTTTCCAAACGTGCATTGGGTCAACAGATTTCGCGCACTGTGATTGGTCAACACGTTAAAACTCTTGGAGGTGCCCTGTTGTGAAACGCCCGTATTCAAGTATCATCCTCACAAGATTTTTCACAAAAAAAACATTGTCCGTATTATTTCTGGCACAAAGTGTGCTACAAACAGTTGGCCAGGAATAAATTTCAAATGGCACCACATACAATCTTGTGCTCAGTTGGATTTTATTAATGTCGTTTTGTCCCTTTGAATGCAATATTACAGGAAATGACAGATACTAGAACAGGCCACGTATGTTCACATTAAAACAAGTCAATGTTTACACTTTTTTACTCATTTCCTCTTTTAAATTTTTCCGTCATTTTGCTGGCCTATCAACTTTTCAAATCACATTTGTTTCCTATTAAATGATCCGTTTTTGCCAGATTGCATGGGATAATTTAACTACTTACATGTACATTTGTTTTGTGTTCATGTGTAACTTTTTCTGAGGATCAGCTTCTTTCCTTGCTTTGTGCTGCTCGTGTGCCAGCACAAAACACTATGGAACCCTTTACTCTCTGAAAACTTTGTCCTTTTTCTGTAAATTCTAAATCACACCATTAATGCCTGGTTAAGGCAATGACATAATTGCTCTCTTCAAGGGTCATAATTACATCCATTGACTTGGTGGTTATTACTCATCATCAATCACTTGCTGCCGGGTGCTTAGAAAAATGCAGTGCATACATATGGGGTGAATTTCAAGACTTTCAGTTTTCACAATTCTTCAAAAATTCATTGTTTCATTTAACGGACGTTTAAACATGCACCAAGTACTCTTTAGGCACTACTCTAAGCTGACAGGTGACCTTCATTGATGCCCGAGTTTTTCAGCCAGGCCTGCAGCCTTGTAAACAGAGCCCAGATTGTGCGGTGTTATACAACTGTCTTTTGTTCACGAACCTGGAACAGTGCACTGCTGACCTCTTTTTCAATAGGGGCCAGGTTAGCGGGCAGCGGTGCTGTGTGGCTTATCGCTGCGGTGGAGCGCTTTTGTCCCCGGTGGTAATCCGCTTGCTCTAAATGCCCCAAACTGTGGTATACTGTTTCAAAACAAGGCCGGATTATCTTCACTACAGAGAGTGAAAAAATGTTGGTAATGCCCAGCAGCTCAGTCTTTTGTACTGAGGTCTTTTGTTACAAGGCCCAACTCTTTTGTCCCGGCTTCGGGCTCCCCGGCTTCATGTATAAAGCCTAGGTACTCGAAAACAGGTCGCCCAGTAGGAAATGGTTAAGTGACATCGTACATAAGACTGGACCTATATTTTTACTACCAAGGACCACTTGCCAAGATCCCCAGGATAAATTGCATGGGATATACACGTAGGACATGGCACTGATCTCCAGTTGTAACAATATGACAACGTGCCTTATTTGTACACTTCACTGTGGATGGGACATTTGTTTTTGAAAGAAATGGTGGATGGAGAACCTGTACTATGTTTTTCCCACATATTACAATCCATTAGATACCTCAAATACATAGTACCAATAACGGAAATTATTTTCTCTTACCCGTGTCCAATTTCTGCAATTTCATCTTAAAGGGGAGTAAAACTTATGAAGGTGCCACTGGGTTTTGAATACGTGGAAATGCCGAAGAAATAGGTAAACCAATGTGGGAAATGGCCAACAAAACTCTAATGGACAAACCAGCATTTCATGGCATTAGTCGAAAAGTGGACAACCCACACAGAATACAAGCCAGTGGTCCATGTACTTCTGCCGTACATTTCGCACAAAAAGAGAAATTGGAGGATGAGGATGAACCCTTTCCTATATCAAACAGAAATGAATACGTGTACACGAGACACCTGATGAGCGGATATTGTACATAGGTACATGAGTGCCTGACATAAGAGTGTCAGGCTTAAGTCCCCTTCTTTTTTCCAACACAGACATCTGAGAGACCTGTTCTGCAATTTATAAAATACCTTGTCAACGTCCCATAACCTACCAAAGAACCACTAGCTTGGAGGTTTTGTTTTTATCCTAGGAACCAAGTCTTGAGGTCAGCCTTTCATCTCACGAGTCCCCGACCGCGGCGGAAGACTCCCCGCACTCAAACCGCGCAAAGTCTACGATCTCCAGGCTCTCCTGGCGGATGAGCTCCCCGACGGTGATTGTGGGGTCTAGGAGGTACTCCTGTCTCAGCATCTCTGTCTCCACTTTGCTGTCCTCACCTTCACTCGAGCCCACTGGCTTTGGTTCTTGCTCTCTGGTGGTTTCTACTGCTCATGAGATCATCGCAAAATGAAAAACATACTTTACAAAAATGACAACAAAACATTCAACAAGTAAGCGACAATGGAATAAAAGTGTGAAGAAGCAGTTTGAAAGGAGTACGCTTAAAACCCAGGTAGGAGCCTGGTACCGATAATGGGCCATGATAAAGCCTGAAAAATTCTGGCCCTATCAGATTAGTGTGGCTTGTGTTTCTTTAAGCCTAGTCACAACACACTCCCTAAATGTATGTGCACATGTACAAGTTCTCAATTTTAATTGTTAAAAGAGAGTGGTACTGTCCATTTGTAACTTGGTTACTAAATGGGGAGATCAAAGCTACTCAGAAATGCAGGCACTTAATGCCTGGTAGAGAAAATTACTTTGATATATAGAATAGATAAAGGAAACAAAATGACCTAGTGACCAGTTGTCACAGATTGCATCATATTCTCAAGGGCTGAACTGGCCAAAGTACATATTCATGTTTTTTGTGAATCTGGCTCCCTTGGACATTTTGCACAAAAATCCATCCGCATTCTTCAAAATCCTACAATGTGTTAAAAGTAACAGCGCAAGTGGGTCTTATTTTCCTCAGTCCTGTCCTACAAACCTTTCCAAAAATGAATGGATTCTGCATGGGTTGGGCTGCAGAACATATGGGCTTACCTTTAGTCACCTCGGCGTGCTCTCCCACAGTCAGTGGACTCATTCCCACAATGTGCTGGCACAGACGCCGGCCAATGTCATCCGGACGGAATTCGGTCAATGCGTCTTCTGTCCTTCTGAAAGCAACGAGGGCGCCGTATTTACCCACCATGCACTTGGACTTCTGCTGCCGCTGCTGAACAGAGTGCACATACGTTCCTACACGAAAAATCAATGACTCACATGTATTATGTTTATCATATTGTCTTGTAAGCACAGTTTGAGATAAAAATACATGTACTTTGAGTACACCAGTGCTTAGGGATCCCAATTAATAAGTTCATCCTGAATAGTAACAGAAAGCCAGGGCCAACACAATGCCACTGCTTCCTTTCCCAGTGACCACACATGCATCCTGTGAATTTGTGCACATTCAACTGAAAATAAGTACCCACAATGACTAGTGCAGGTACATGATTTTTCTATCCAAGGGGATGTCACTGCATGCACATAGAAAAGCACCGCCTTCTTGTCAACACACAGAGTCCACAGAAGACAGTTTAGTATTTCAGGGTCAATGCAGAATGCCGCATTGCAACATGTGCCCTGTAACATGGATAGAGTTTGTACTCATTATTGTCTGTGGCAGCAAACCTCTGGGGTTAGATGGAGGCAGGTTGGCACATTATCGAGGTGGTCAGCTTACCAATGAAATGGTCAGCAGGAGCCATCATGCACAGGGCCCTGTTCAGTGTCATATTCTCCCCTATTTTGCCAATGGTCAGCGCAGCTTGGTCCTGGAGATTCTTCTGGTCGTCGACACTGAATTCTTTCATTTCGTCACTGCTGTAAAGAATCTGAAAATAACGTGAGAAAGGAGCACGGTCAATGTAACCTAAATAGCTCATTTCCAAGTACAGAGTGTGACAAACTCAGTCTGTGCACTCGTTGCTTAAGAACACTTCCGATGCTGCCGGAGGGGCATCTCTAGCTGTGTACCCAGAGTAAAGAATGTAAGGTCTGGAGCCCAACCGTGTGTAAAGTCTACAGCCTTGGGAATGTTGCACAAGCAATCTTTTCACTCGGGGCTAAAAACTTAAGAAAAGATCATGAGACCTGAGCACCCAGAGAGGGGCAGTGCACACAGTGACCAAATGGACCACAACAATGACCAACATCAGCCCTTCCTCTGGCCAACACATGCAGACTTACTTTGGCAACACCAGTCGAGTCTTTAATCTCCCTTTGTCTGATGCTAAACTGTCGCAGTGTCGCTGCTGCTGCCTGGCCCACAAATCCTTGAAATTCACTGTTCTTGGCCACAAAGTCTGTCTCGCAATTCACCTCAACCATGGTGGCCTGGTTTCCCTCCCTCATGACCCCGATGAGTCCCTGGGCCGTGGTCCGACCTTTCAGCTTGGTGGCCTTGCTCCAGCCTTCTTTCTGGGCCTGCTCCTGAAGCCAGGCCTCTGCCTGAAGGACAGAAGTGAAACCAATGGAAATTAGAGCCATTTCGAAGCACACATCTAATTGCACATTCACATACACATTTCCAGATTGACTTATCTACTGGTGGCCTTTTTTAAAGGCTGTGCGAAAGCACACACTGACCATTCTTGCCTTTACCTGGTTCAAATCATTGCCAAATTTATCCAGTGCCTTGCGACAGTTGGCAAAGCTGAAGCCAGTCCTTTTCCTGAGCTGCTGTAGATTTTTCTTGGAGCTCGAGAGAACCGCCTCTGTGCTTGACAGGTATCTACAGAGCACAGGTAATACTAATCCTGTCAATTACAAAAAAAAACAATAAACTATTTACAACTGTCACTATAGCAATGGTGCCCAAGCCAATATAATGATGCAAGGTAACTTCTCAGGTGCACAAATATTCACTAATAATAATTACATGTATACATGTGATGACTCCCACCATTGAAGATTCTTTCCCAATCACACTATGAGTGAGGGTCCAATGTAATGTACAATGTTGGTAGACTACTATGCACAATCGTGATGTAATGCTCCAACATGTCTATAGGTACTGTACATGTATCCAGTTCATGCATACATGTACATCTACGACCACTTGATATGTTCCTTCCAATCAATTTCACTTGAGCATGCCAAAATGTACATGTACAGTGTACATGTATACGTACATGTATGTGTCAACCAAAGATCCTATAGTGCCACGTCGTGGCGTAAGATGGAGACCTCTGCCAAAAAGTTGTAATTCCCATGGGTGCCTTTCAAGCAGGTAATATGCCTGCGCAGTGAACGTTAATGCGCAGGCACAGGTGCACCAGGTGCATGTGCCTGGCCTAGCGCCCGCACCTGTGCATGTACATGTACATTAATGTGCACTGCGCGGGCATATTGTTTGATCCAATGGTGCCCAGGCGATTATGTTGTACGAGTATTAGTGGTGAAGTTCTCTATCTTGCACTGCTACGTGGTGATACACTGTCTTTGGTGTCAATACACCAGCCCCCCGTACAAGTACACCATAGGACCATGGTTACAGTCTGGGCTGTGGACACAGTCAGGGCATAACGTTTCTGATTAAGAATGACCCTTACATGAACATGTGTCTTTGGTCGTGGTGTTTGGTGGTGGAATTTGGAATTTTCAATTTGGGGTTTGGATTGGTTTTTTTAAGGTGATTAAACTCACAGCAATTTAGAAATGATAAATGTACCACTAAGTACTTTTCTAGGAGGAAATGAGAATCCTGTGTGGATGAAAACAGATGGTCATATTCAGAAATCCCCCAGACCCAAAACCTGGATACATCATTGCTGAAATACATGTACACGGCCAAGTCCATTAGCAATGCTTATTGCTAGACTACCGGGTACATGCAAGGATGCATGTGCACCTATGCTACCCATCCATGTATGTGCACATCATACATTGTACTGGAACATGTACAAAGGCTGTACACAAAACGAGAGACTTACGCTGTTTCCCTTGCTGAGAGCCAAAATGAAATTCACCTCTTTTCTGATGTTTGGTTTGAATGATGGATATTTTTGCCTGTCGGATCAGCTTCTTCTGTCATGGCAAAACCTGTTCTATGCAACTTGCTTGTTAGCAGCTGTACAGCCATACATGTACGTGTATCTGACAGCCTTGTGTATGCTTTGCCGCTCCAAGCCATTCATTCAGACACAGCAGCGGGTCATTAGCCCAATAGCTGGCAAAATGCTTCCACCATATTTTTAATAATGGAAATGCTGTGAACACGAACCCAATAACACAGATTTCAACCACAAATTTTCTCTGAAGAAGTCACACATACACATGTATGCAAATATCTTGAGAACACTTTTTTTCTCCACCGGAAGTATTATGCGCTATTTATGGGCACATGTGGGCTTGACAGGTGATAAAGAAACAGTGATGTGTAAACATATACATGTATTGTTTATTGTTATTTTCACTAGCTAGCGCTAGTGATGTCAGGATGGTACATTACAGCATGGAAAGACAAAATTAACATTTCCACAGTTGGTGATTAATGATACGAAGTCGAGTTAACGATAGGCTAATTAACCCTAACCCTCCTCAATCCTTCACCTGTTGGAGGATTGAGGAGGGTTAGGGTTAATGACGTGTCAAAGCCAGAACCGTGTAAGTTACATGTACATGTACTCAAAGCATTTTGGCCTCCTCATCATCATGGTTAGTGCATGTAAACAAAATGCAAAAATAAAGCAATAATTTTGTGTCCAAATGTCACTGATTTTGCAAAGTTCATTTCTATGCACTGTGTTTGTCGCCCATTCAAATTCAATTGAATCTGAAAATGGTCGAGCCATTATACAACGGTCGGCCATCAACCCAACGAAGCATGTGTTGTGTTTGGATTTTTGCAATCAGGAGAGTGAGCGTGTGGTGAGAAAAACGCTCTGATCTTTTTTTAAATAGTCAGTCCCGTGATCTCAAAATCCTCGGTCAAAGGTTTTAGGGATATGTGGACGTGGATCAGTTTAGCATGTTTGGATGGCTCTGTTGGGGACATGTATCTGATTGAGAAAATGGAATTTTGATTAAAGTACGGTACATGTAAGTGTACACTGATCAGCACTGATCTGATCTAACTGGGCTGCAGTTAAAAATCCATGGCATTACAAACTTATAGAACATGTAGAAAGTCATAGGGCTGGAAGCAAGTTGTGCCACCAGCATGTCCACAGAAGAGGAGGAGGTTGGGCTATTAGGCCTAAGCAATGTTCATCTATTCATGATTAGCCCGAGTGACTAGGACCCTACAACAAAGCGCCTCTTTTAAACTGGTAGTGTACAGTGTACATGTATTTATTTACTTGGTACCATACCTGGCAGGTCTATTCCTTCCTCCATAGGCCTACAAAACAATATTTGGCCAGGCACATGTGGAGTACACAATTTCTCAACCTTATCCAAGTTAATGCATCTCACACTCGACAGTTCATCTAAAATATGGCATTTCATCTATGACATTGTAAACAATATGACTTTAGCACATGCTGGGCACATGCACACTGGACCTCTGTGCTGCAAGTTGGGCCGGCCCCACTCTGATAGTTGGGACGGTCCCACCCATAGTAAATTAGTAGGCCTATGACAGGTTGGGACTGATGTAGCCCCACTAGTGTGGCACTCCCGATCTATCCTTAGCCACACATCCGTATTCGCAATTTCATGTCAGCGTATTGAACATTTTGGCGCACCCACTTATAATCGTGGGCGCAATTTCTTTTGCACACGAACATGATTCTTGACCGCTTTCTAAAAACCATTTATTGAATGATTTCACTCACGTTATTCAGGTATTTTCCAGTCTTTTTGCCTTTATCCATTCAATCTAACAGGCTCGCTCTCTCAGTCGCCATCTTTAAAACAAGGTCGCTGACCATTACGTCACTTGAACCCTCATCGTCTCGACAGCTGTTCCATGTCAAGACATCTAAACTGCTGCCAAAGTTTTGGAAGAGCCCATTGGTACATGTAGTATCTTATCACTCAGTCCGCTTATTACATATGTCTTGACATGGAAGAGCCGTCGAGACGATGAGGGGTCAAGTGACGTAATGGCAACTGAGAGAGCAAGCCTGTTACTAGTGTTAGATAGAATGGATAAAGGCAAAAAGACTGGAAAATACCTGAATAACGAGAGTGAAATCATTCCATAAATGGTTTTTAGAAAGCAGAAAGGTCAAGAATCATGTTCATGTGCAAAAGAAATTGCGCCCACGATGATAAGTGGGTGCGCCGAAATGTTCAATACACTGACACGAAATTGCGTATACGGATGTGTGGCTAAGGATGGATCGGGAGTGAGAGTCCGTGCCTCACTAGTGGGGCTAGGACTGATGCTGCAGTTGGGGCGTATTAACACGCACAAACGGACTACATCATAGCATGGAGGTAGAATCACATTCTACCTCCATGATCATTGGGTATTCCTTCCTCCATGCACAAACAGACGAAATGGAAAAATTTCTGCTCATCAAAATATATTGTAACGATACCTTACAATATTCCCAAGTTCCTCTTACCTGGACGTAACATTTTTACCGTCAAATGGGCTATCAATACCATGTAAATCTGGACTTAATTGTGGGTATCCGTACGCGTGAGGAACTTAGCGAGCCATGAGTATAGAGCGTGAGTTACATCATGTACGTACGTTAGGCCGGCCCGGGTACCCGGGTATGGCTGCAACAGTGCCTGCCTGCTTCGTAATATAATTTCTCAGCGTTATTGACGTCTGGGTACATGGTATGATGCTAAGATGAAAAGCGCCCTCTTGCGGCCATTTACAATAGGAACTTTTCTCAAGTTCGGTTGTTTTCGGTTAGGGTAATAGTACAAGGCCTGAGCCTTTTTTTGACGCAGAAACCAGTTCTACGAACGCTGCATTTAGCGATTTGTACAGCCATATCCGACAGACTTGTATAGGTATGTTTTGCTTATCGCAGCTATTTATTTAACGAGACACACCTTGAAGGTAGGACAACGCAACTGGGAAAATAATTACCCAACATCTGGCCAAAATGCTTGGATGGCATTAACCAGTTAACAGAAACGCTGCAAACTCCTATCCAACAACAAAGATTTAAACCATAAAGTTATCTGAAGAATTCACCCGTATGCAAATATCTTGAATTGGGCCAACAATTTTTCCCCTCCGGAAGTACATGTATAATGTTGTTTTATTTTATGTTAATATTAAGGTTTAAGACTGAGGCCACAAAGAAAAGTGATACATAAATCATTTGTTGTTGTATTATCTGGCTGGCATTAGTGGCAGGACGGTATTACGGCACGGAAAGGCAAAATTAATATTTTCATACTTACTGATAATTAGTACCACGTCGAGTTTACAATGGGCTAATTAATGGCTTGTCAAAGCCTGATAAGTTACCAAAGGCATTTTGACTTCTTCATAATCATGGCAAGAATGGCTACCCACGATCGAAAGATACAAATATGTTCCCAAGTTCATTCGAGCGCGCAAGTCAGAATGCGTGAAATTTATAGTGAACGATGGAATTTTCTGACATCTTCGCTACATCAAAAACACCTTTACATGTACTACCTTGCCAGATGTTTATAATATTCTTTTGAGAGTGAAAGTCATGCAAGAGCCGATCCAAAAACCAAAGTTCCGAGGGTGGAGTGTGTCAAATCTGATATAACCCTTGCTGCACGACATTATATGTTGAAACCCACAAAGCCCCACAATTCTCGAATGTGTACATAAAGGAGGCGGGGCTTTACCTATACTGCCGCACGTACAGCACATTAGCTACAATGGGGGGGGGGCTGTTTACACGCAGTTTAAAGGAAGGGATATCAAATAAGCCCAAACTCGCCCAAAAAGGAGGGCTCTTTTTCCGAGGAGCGGGGCATATATGGCTTATTTGCCCACCTGCTTGATCTGTTTGAATTCATATTCGATTAGCAGTTTTTTGAACCATCTTTGCTTTCTGTGTGTGCGATCATATTAGGTAACCACAATGACCTTGCGTGGGGCACCTACACCTACTACGTGTATTTGTCCTGGTGCTCTCACAGGGTACCATTAACACATGCCTAAAGAACTTATACCCAACCTTTGTGTGACATGTTTGCCCTACCGACGGCTCTCTTCAACTTGCCCTTAATTGTTCGCAAAGGTTGGCTTCCCAGTTTTGTGTTCTGCCATAGTTATGAACACGGACTATGTACGTTAATTATTTTCGGTGTGAAATCGTATTCTACCACCGTGACGAGACACTTAACAGAATGCGCGATCTCTTCCTTACATCAGCTGTACATCTGACAAAAAACAGATGAAAACTATGTCTGGACTTCCCATTTAATTAATCACCAAATGTTACAGCTGCAATTGAATGAAATTTTGGGGGATAAACAGAGCCAACGGTTGGGGAAACTAATTAAAATTTAGATGGATTAAACTCAATTCTTTGTGGGGAAGGAAACATAGAGTACAACAACCCAACCACAAAGTTGTTTTTGAGCTCGTAAAAGTATTGTTGCCGACGTGAAACGTTGCGCTGACAAATTTGAAATCAATCAAATCCCACATTTGGCTTGAACTGGCTTAATAAGACCACTAATTTCTTAAATAAAAGCTGTTGTTTTCTTAATGGGACGCATGATCGGGGTTAAATTAATGAGTGGTTAGGGCAGAATGACTCCATCGCCTACAGGCTTCTTGTAATCCGGGTATTGCGGTAAATCATGGACAGATGTAGCCTACTTTTGACAGATTAATTAAGAATTGCGTTGAGAATAACATAATACTTAAATTAAATTACTAGTCTGAAGTAACAACTGCTAAATTAATTTTCTCTCTTGAAGATGGATGACTTAATGAGCATTAACCGTCGGGGCGTGATGTTTGCTTCTTGGTAGGATGTTCTCACGCAGGTGTATAAAAGGGGTGCCTTACTAGCTCCAATACTGGCCTCAACGAGCAACAAGGAGCTTGAAGTGCCCAACGGAGCAGTGCTCCATCCTTAGCTTCTTTGCAACCATTTTGCCTGATTTTTCAGATAAGCCCTTTGCTACAGATATAACTGGAGGTGAAGTTAAGGTACGGTAACATGTCTTTTTTCACTGTTGTCATCTTTGCGAGTAATTTTTCTGTTTGGAAGCGGCCAGTAGATCTTCCAAACTATCTGTGCCGGCTATCATCACATGCAATAACGTGGTCATATGGGTCATAGAAGAAACGGGATACTTTTACAAAGCCATTGTCTTTCAATAGTTCCGGTTACTGTATCGATAAAAGCTTGCATCTTGCTGGAATCACACTGTGGCTTACGGATTTTTTTTATTATGCGCGTGTGATCCAGTACGTTCAGTATTAATAAACGCTTTACCGAGAACATTTGAGCCTTACTCTTTTTCTCATGTTTTGACCCCCGAAAGAGCAACCTGAAATTCTAATAAGGACACATCGTTATATTTTAAGGGCCATTTTTTGTCTCTAGGATTTATTTATACAGTGTTTAATTTATTTATCAGATGTTTGATAACTTGAAAAAGACTACGTTAAACAACGATCCACTTTGGTATTCCAACAGTGCATGCCCAAAACGGAGTACGTCCGAGGTCAGTCAGGAAGTGCACTAGGCGCACGCGAGGTCTGCATAATAATGGTTTGCGTCCAGATGCAATGCACCGACTCGCACACGGTGCTTTATTCGCAGACGCCCTTGGCTTTTTGAAATAATCACAAGCTACTTAATTGGGAGAGGACCTGGGTTCATGTCTTCAAAAGTAGCTCGTGTACAAAACAAGTTCAAATAACAGAAATACAAGAAGAGAGAAAAGAGATCCCCAATAGGCCCAGCACAGACTGTAAAAAAAGCCAGACGGTGTGCGCATACAGTGTCACTTAAGTCAACTTTATCTTACAAGTCTTCTGTTTTATTTCGTTCCCTTTTTGTGTCGCCCCCTCCCCCTCTAAGCAAGCGATCAAAACGAACCTCAGGGCCTACTTCTTTACTTTCCCGATTACCAGGAAGTTGGAGCACACGATGTTCACATGTGTTTGGTTGGCCATTCTGCTTGTGGTAGGCAGTGTGTTGAATCATCCTCCATGGTTGAATGCATCAGCGGCACGGCTTGGATACTATGAAGGTGGGACCGTTTTCTGGGAAGCTCGCAATCCAGATAATCCACGAGAGGTAGGGACTGTAGTAACACTAAGAAAAAAAATGGAGTGAAATGTGACTTGAATTTACTTGAGCGTATGTTTTTGTCAAATTGGCTTTCCTTCCTGTGTATTAAACAACGAATCACCGAAGGAAAAATTAAAATAACGGTTTATTCTAATTTTACGCAAATTGAAACTGGCACTGAATTGAAACAAAACGTTAAGGTTTCTTCCTGGAATTGGATCACATTAAAATAATTTGTCCAAAATATGTAGATTTGTATTTAGTATTTAGCCTAAATTATCAAGACACCTAAATGCCTTATGACAAACGAAGTTTTCCAAGAGGCTGGTAAAGTCGATTAAAATTAGGTGCATTTGAAAGGTTTGCATTTGCCCTCGCTACCTAATTTCGTCTCCCCATTCTCCCCTCCACTTTCTGCGCGCCGTTACTGACAGAAATTAATTCTGCTCACTTCTCAAATGTAGAACTGACCTTCAGAGCCTTCATTTGTGTGAAATTCTTGGTAGTATCGTTAGAAAGTAAACCCACGGTGATTCAGGACTGATTACGTCATTTTAATGATGATTAATTTGAGGTAGTTTATTTGCTTCACGTTTAGAAATTGGACAACTGATTGTCTCTATGAAATCCCATCTAAAACCCATCCACCAACACCCTATCGCCACCCTCCAGACGATCACGACTGAATTGTCTTCACCCAACTTGTGTGATCTCATAGATTGGTGTCCCGGCCCTTCCATCGTTGATAGGCCCTTGCACGAGTCGGGACTCGGGAACATTTTTTTTTTCTGAATTTGTGTCTCGACTTGGACTCGTGTTGGCCTTGGATCTTGAACGAGTCTTTGCAAACTTTTTGTAGATCTTGAATAAGATATATTAAAACAACTTTGCCTCTGTTCTCAAACGACTTGTAGGCTTAATTCTTGCTGAGGAAAACCTCTTCTGGATCTTACAAGGTCTGCAGACTATTCTGAGAATATCGTGGGTCATGCTATTACGTTTACCCACTTTCATTTTTTGAACTTTTAAATTTCTTGAGGGACCTGGGATGCTAGGAAGTCGAATGAAGTGGGACTTTGTATATGGCTGGTGTTTATTCAAGATTAAAACGGGACACCCGGACGAGGGGTACTAGTTTCGATAAAAATTTGTATCTTCATGGGAAAAATCATTCCCATTTCTTTACAAGGACAGCGACAACTGTAAAATCTGTCTATTGCTTCTAACCATTTGCCAAATCGCACATCCATATGTCCATGTCTTTTCTGGATTAATCCGTCCGTCCATCTAGCCCACAAATGCATCTTTGTAGCTTCTTAAAATTGATCCACTTGCCACGCTCTGGCTACTCAGTTCTATACCTGACAAGATATGGGACGGAGGGGTCCCCCCAACATGTCCAAACCCTGTAGACACTCTAGACCATTAACTGTTACCCCTGGAAGTCTGAAAAAAATCCTTATTCCGGTCAAACCATGGGGGAAGGATACAGAAGGAGTTTGAACTGCCCGGGCTATAACATCTCTCCGATTACCTCTTTCTGGCATGCCCGGTATGTCCATAGCCAGAGCGCAGCGCACGCCTGCTACCCACCACCTGTTTCGCAACCATAAGCTCCCTTTGAACCCCATGATCGTCGCTGCAATTTTTCGTTGGTAATCTGCATTGCTGAAACGTTGTGTACTGCAGTATAGGAAGTTGAATATTCATGCCATCGTTGGTGCTTGATATGATCCGACAGCATCATCAAATGTAGTGTTTGCGCAGTTGCTTGTATTAGGCTGTGTACCCAAAGTGTTCATGTGCAGTTGTTGCCCTTATCGGACGCTTTCTTCTGGACTTCTTTTGAGGATAAATAGCCAAGCTGTTTGTAAGATTTTGTGTTTTGTTTGAATCATTTTTATTATGGTATTTGTACAAAGGCATATTTTATGAGATTTTACGATCACTTTCTGTGATGAAATAGCGTGTTTTGTTCTTAATGAACTAAGCTTTCCAGAAGTAGTGAACATTTTGTTGGCCAGTCCTAGCCAAATTCGTTCCAAGTCTTTGACACTGATGTATATTGGACGGAGGAGACGAGAATAACAAACTTTGCATGGATAATGAAACAGTGTGTCAAAATTTAAAACGTTTGTTTATGATGGCAAAAGTAGGTCTAATATTAGGAGTTTTTTCTCTCTATTTCTTGGTCACATCGATAGTTTGTATTTAATTGCAAGCAAAAAACTACAAGTATTGCGAGGGTATTACTGGCCCCGCTTGTCCAGCTAAGATGCAGGCAGCAATAGGCCTAAGGAATGTTTGGAATATTTTCTATTATTCGTCAGACTCGGCGGCGACCATCATTGGACGCTTTGAAGTGCCCGAGTTACAACTCCTTCTGTGTCCTTCCTCCATGGTCAAACGATAACCAAACTGGGGGGCTTCTCCGTCCATATCTTACTTCAAATGTTCAGTTGGCGTGCATTCCCCAATCTGTACAATTTCGTTGCGCCGTTGATGGGCTTTGGAGCAACCACTCTACAGCTTTTGCCCACAGCCTCGGTCTATTGTCTGGTGCATGGGCTTGTGTAACTAAAATTATATCAGACTTAGCCAAGGTGTCAGCTTTTTTGGCGAATAAATGAATCTGAAGTGTCTGTAGACCCCATCCAACGCCCCGGTAGAGCTTTTGTGGTTCCAAGACATTGTTCAAGATATTTCATTAAAGAGTCCATGAGGACCTCCGTGGACAAACTATTAATTAATTGTTTAACATATTCATTAGTGTGCCAATAACACGATGAGGGATGTACAAATGGAATACCACTCCCTTTGTTGTGGTAAATTTTACGGACCCTTGAAATGAATGTTTCAATCCTGACAAACGATGGTGTTATGGGTGAAGTACATTTGAGAACCCACAGTAGCAGCAGAATTATAGTCAGGTACACAAGTATATTGAGTGGAACAGCCCAGGACCGATTTAGAAGCATTTCTTATCCTTTGTCGTTCGCGTCTCATGAGAGCTCGTCCCTGTTCTAGAGTTTTATTTGATTTCATAGATAGTGGGCGTGGCGCCTGGCGTCAGCAATTGCTAAATCTAATCCCAAACGAGTAGTACATGTTCAGAAGAAAACACTATGGCTGGAACTGCACATGCACTGCATAATTTGGAGCTCGCTGTCGGTCCGAACAATTTGGCCTTAGTCACCCTGACTTCTGATCCAAGTTAAAATTAAGCATAGACGCGCTAGCGGCGCGCGACGATGTCTTCTCAAATGTACGTCACAGATATGCAAATTTTCAATGTTAATGAGATACTTCTCGAGGGCGGGGCCGTTTCCCCAAAAAACTTTTAAACTTTTCCTCCCATTTATTAATCACAACAGCAACGTTTACGTTCTGGATATCGTTTACAAAAAAATCAATTAAAACTACTAAAAACACTCTTTATGGGCCCTTTAAGACCTCATAGCCTTGACATCGTCGTCTCTCTTAACAAATTGATCTGCTCATGAACATGTGCCTCTTGAATCTTTTGCGTCTTCCGGGCATACTTGCCAGCTAATCTTATTTTTTTCTCCCATCCGATCTGCGCTCCGAAGGTGGCCGACGTACTGCCCTTTAATATAAAGTTGTCATTGAAAGCCGCTTGTGCTTTAAAATGTACGTTCCTACAACTCTGTTTCTTGAAGTTAATACACTTTTCCAGAGTTGCAGTTCCGACAGCAACTAGCTTCAACTTGAGCTAATCACGGGCCGGGCTTGGGGGTCTTTTTTGTACTTTTAGCTAATTGTCCCAAATCATCTGGATTAGCATTGTACCAAAGTTATATAAAATGCTTTTGATACTTTTTTTCAGATCACTATTGACTTTGAGTTCAACTTTGATTCACGAAAGCACTCTTCTACCCACTACCAGTGTACTGAAGATGACATTGCTACACAGAAGGTTAGTAATAATGAAGAACCATGTACCTCCAAGGTAACAAACATTTCGCTGATCTGACGAGCCACCGCCGATAATCAAGCCAACCTAAGTACGTTTACGTATGATAAACAACTTTTTAGACTAATATAATCTGGGAACATTCGAGCCACAGCCCTGCAGATCATCCTTTCTCTTATTCGTCTGTCGTTTGTTTATTGTATACGCGACACCTATCTTAACGGCGATAGACAGAGTCCGATCGGGCGCTTCTATTCTATTAGCCTCAAGGTCAAAATTGATCTTAGATTACTACTTTAAATTTGTTGCTAGACAGTTAAAAGTAGAGCATTAATGCAACTAGCGATGGTATGGCCTTTCAGTCTAATGACTGGAAATATATCTCCAACCGTGACAAAATTATACCGGTACAAAACTCACTACGTGTGACAGTCTTTAAAAATTACTTTGTGTAATTACTCACAAAGCAAAATCTTTGTTTAGTCATTAAAACACATTCTTGCTAATAATTATCGCTCCAAACATGTTTAGAATAATTATTAAACTGACAAATAGTCAACAACTGGACACAAAATTTCTAGCACATTTGTGCAGTTTCATTCGATGCATAATGAGGTATAATGCGACATGCATTATGCCTCTACACGCCTGTGTAGTACTGCAGTCAAAACGCAACTGCACTTCTCGGGTTGGACCTCTGGTTGTTTTTACAGAAACTCCGTACCGGTGGTCAGTTTCGTGTTGGCGATGCACAACCTCTATGGGCAGATTATTACTGCACACATTTGGATAGGAGGAGGCATGCTGCCACTGGCGTTTACCGCATGACGTACACTTTGCCATCAAATGAGGCAACTGCAGAGATATCGTGAGTCACTACCGTCTTCCGAGCATATTAGAGCAGAGTTCGTTAGCCCCCCGTGTCACCTCCTATCAAATGAAGTTACTCACAAGTATGAAAAGCTTCATCCGAAAAAAAAATTTATCGATGTAAAGTATGCCAGAATAGCGAAATCGGCAGTGCCTTTGACAGTCTGTGTTTTCTTTCATTTCATACAAGGTTTGTTCTTGTGTTTCTAACAACGACTGTTTTTATCAAAATGTTATTAGCCATCTCTTTACAAAGATGCAAGAACCATTAAGTTTGAACATTCCATATAAGATGGCGGCACCTTTATAAAAAATCATTTAGTCTATATCAATATGTACATTTCGTTGTCTGGTGGTTACAGATACACAGAATGCTGCTGGATCCCTGGTATTGTCAATAACGGTCGAGACATAGGAAACGGTAAAGGCTGGAACCTGGCATCCACCATCAACATCAACCACAAGGATGGCGTGTCCATCAACTCACCACCCCAAGGCAAAACCTTCGCCAAGTATTCCATCATGTCAGGTTGCACCTACAGCATTCACATTCCACGTATGTTCCAAGCTACCTCCTTCCTCTTTTTCCACTTTGAGAGAAGTTTGTTTTTAAGCCTGCGAAGGCACTTTTTTGTAATTATTTTTAAGTCACATCTTCTAGCCCGTAGAGCAGCGCCAGTCACACATAAAATGTACATTTTAATGAGTTTGCTGCTGAAGGGAAAGTGAAATTTCTGTTGGGCATTAAAGTTAATGCTTTCGTTGGACCGAATATAGAGTCGTGCCAATACTGCAATATCCAAGAGAATCCTCTTTACCAACTGATAACAAATTATTTTGAAAAAAAAACAAGGTAACGTATATAAGACCTCACTATCTCACTGGTCACGTCAGTAAGGCTTAATTTCCGAGTGGTAAAAAGTTAATGAAGTTAAAAAAAAATATTGAATCCAGTAGGAAGACGACTCAGTCCTTTTTAGAAAAACAATTTCATTTTGATCCTTGGACCCACGTAATGTTAGATATGCTACTGTATAATTATGATATGCCAGCGCTGGGATATTTGTAAGATTAAAAGTTACAGTGGTTGATTTTTGCCATTCTAATTTTTTTTATCCATACAATGATTTTTTTTACTTGTCTTCAATTTGAAGATGATGATGCCAACAATGACATTGTGAAATGCAGGTGGACAAGCAGGAGGAAGGGGGAATGTAACCCTAATGCCTTGGATATCTGCGGGACACCGTATTTTGACGAGGAGAGAATTAAACCTGTGGCCAGTTTAGATAAGGTCAGAGGTCCATTCGAGGCTGTGTGGGGGATACCCTTTGGCTACAACAGTGGCGCTGTTGACGTAATGTGACGTATTGCACACCCATGCGTCTCCTAAGACATTTCATTCCAGTGATGCTCTGTTTGAAAATGAAAGCGGTTGGTTTGAAAACAGCTGCCCAATATTTTTTAATCGTTTGCCATTTGACAATAAATTCAATGAAATGAATTGTTTCATATCTTAAGGATGGATACAAAATAATGTTTGGCTCATTGTATTTTAAAGATCGTAAGGCGGTAGCATAGAGCAGGCACCTTGCAAGAAATTCTCACAATGGCTTATTGGTGTAAGTCATGGATACTTGACCTTGTGTTAAAGCAGACAGCCAGTTCAATCTTCACATATGAAGAACGTCATTCAACGCTGTATTCAATTCTTACTACAGGGGAGTTGTGAGCTGAGCTTTGGAGAGGTAGAAACGATTCCCGCTGGTACCTATGCTTTCATGGTCATGCTGGAGGATTTCGCCCCCGGTAGGTCCCGCAAACCAATGAGCAAGACCCCCGTGCATTTCCTGATGAACGTCTTCGACTACGAAGGTGAATGCCGACAGCCAATCCTCCATGTGCCAAGGATTTGCTTTGCCCACGTTCTTGGAGAGGAGTTCCAGATTAAAATGGTTGCCACTGCAACAGCCCCGTATCACAGGTTGCTCTACTGCATGTTTTCTGTCTTCCTTTCGAATTGGAGCTAAAAAATCTACAATTATAGACATCAGTGTCATCTTCGTCCAAAGGGGCTGTAAACTCTATTGTTATATAGGGGTGCATCCTTATCTAAAGAGAAACGCACTAAATTTATCCAGTCATCTTTTCTCGAAGGGATAGGCAAGACAAAACATTAAACACTTGTTATATGCGGGAACAAATCAACATGTCCGTCCCTTTAGCAGGACGTTAGTGCTGTGCAATGGTCTCAACATATCTGCAATGTAACTTAGACTCAGAAATAATTGACCAGGTACACCTGCAGCCTTAGTTAATCTCACCCATAAGACTGTCGCATCGATGTTTTCTGTACCAGTGGCCACTACAACCCCTTTCAACAACTATTATACATTCCAGGGGAGTACATTTCTCGTTTTGTCAAACTTGGACTCTTTTTAGACTGCATCCTATAATTCTGGCTTGCCTACAGGATCACCAGTATTGACGTACAGGGTTACCCAACCGACACACCTAGGCGCGTGCCTGGCACTTCCGCCGACTATGAGATCACCTTTAGATTCACGCCGACGGAGTTGAAGACTTACACAATCTGTGCCATGGCCAGTGAAGATCAGAGGTTTGTTAAACGGTTTAACCCAAACCTTTCCCCAAGCAACTTTAATCGACAAGATTTTTTCTCCACATTTTTCCCGCTGCCCACGTGGCGTCAGCCATGTTTGCCACTCATAATCTGTTCACACGTACTAACGGACACAGTATTCAGCTTGCCTTTTCAATCATTGTCTGTCTTTCTTTTAAAGGTTTATCAGCACACAGTCCTGTTTCACAGTAAAAGTTATGCGAACAGGTGAGAGCAAACAATCATCCATCTTTAGCACGGCTGATCGTAGTACTGTTGGTTCTGTTGAACATGTATGCTCTTCTTCATGGTTACTAAATTGACGGAACGGATACTCTTGTCCAACCAATTCTAACCCTATAAAAAGCCCACTGGAAGTGTCATAGAGTGCCAAGTCTTTCAATGTTCCACGGTCCAGTCGTAATGGCATCTGAGTCATGTGGAGCATGTAGGTTCGAATCTAGAGGAAAGATCAAAGAATATGTGTTCTTAGACAATGCACTTTGTTCGTAAAATGTTACCTATCATGCTATTCTTTCTATGTACGTGGGTATTAAAGAAGATGCCCATATAACGCACAGGGCCCGTCGCTGGGGGGGGGGGAGCCGCCTCCCCTGCGGGAAGCTAGCCCCCAATGAGTAAAAAGCGTAAGCATGAACAATATGTTTTGTTCCTGTGATGTGCCCCCCCCAGCTGATACTGTGCCCCCCCCTTAATGCCTGAAACTGGCGACGGTGCTGCAACGCAGGTATAGTGAAGATGTGTGCACTTGCCTAAGGTCCTCGGAACGTTTAATACCCCCCTCCTTCCGAAAAATGGTTTAGAGGCATTCGTGATCAGGGTTATTTGAAGCAAAAGGACGAGGAAAGTTAAATAAACTTTCCGTGAAAATCCAGCTTAAAATATTTGTTCACAGTGCAAGAAAACTGAGTGTTTTCAAGGAGATAACTACACAAGAAAGGGGGTAACGGTTGTAAACATCAACAGTACATTCTCCTCCTCCTTATTTATCATTTTGTCATGTTCATGCAGCCAAGACACATTCTAAAGAAGTTTAGTTTGAAATGAGATATTTTCTCTAAACTTTCAGAACCAGCAGTGCTGGGAGTAGATCGAGCCAACTCCATTCCGGCTAAAGGTTCCCAAGAGGCTGAGGCAGTCGTTCCGAAATGGGCCATCAAATTCAAGAGAAATGTAATTTGTACTTGAAATTACTCCAATTTTAAATGTTTCTCATTGGAAAACATAACAAACAGTGGAATTAACCAGTCGTGTGGTTTTGCTGATTTCGTCATTTTGATTTTTTGAAGTTTTTGTTCTTTTATTTGAGCCGTGGAAAATTAAAACTGGCAGAGATCATCTTTGAGTTTTGTCGTTTTTCGTCGCTGACATAGAGCCTTTTAACAACCACTTGTGATTGAATTTTTGGAAGAATTCTACGTCATTTCACGGTGTCAAGAGTATACAGAGAAATGATATTGACATTACATCTGTCGAATCGAGTGGTTTGATGCATCTCCATAGTGATTTAGTTAAGACATTTGTATTTGGAATTTAGATTCAGAAAGGAGTGTTCAGCCCTGCTTATGTAACCCTCCGCGATTCCAACGACGTCGTAGTTTGGCGCGTAGATGCCACTGGCCCCAATGTTGAAGTTGTAAATGGTGACACCCTGACGTTCCCAAACAGCCACCACGTGTTCTTGGAGTACGAAGCGGAGTACACCATCTCACTGGACGAAGGGGTGGTACAGAGTAACGACAGGAAATGCTCGGTGAAATCTAAACCTGCGGAATGGAGCTTTGTGACCAAACTGCGTAAGACTTGAAGTGATTCTGCCCGTATGCCTGTCCCAGACTTGGCTTCAGTATTTTCTTTGAAAATGCTCTGAGGCTTTTTTTATGTTGTTTCCCTTATTCCAATGAATCGACTCATCCCAAAGTCTGCAAATAATAATAATAACATCGAAGAAATGAGAAACGAATTAAAATTCAAAACAAACTGATCAGGCCAAAGAGCTTCAAAATGGTGAAATTTGGAGGTCATGGACATGTTGTGATGTTTCTTTGCTTGTTTCTTCGGTTTTTTGTTTTTGTTTTGCACAGCCAGCTTGATTTAAGTCTGATTTTGTGATGCCTTTGTAGCCAGTGCAGTTAATTAGGTTTCGTTTCCTTCTATATCATAAAGAGGTTTACAATGTCACTTAAGGATGAAGTGGACTTCACATCAGATATACAAACTCTGTCTCCGCAGCCGCACCTGCACTGAACGAGCCCGAATGCAGCATATCTTCCATGCGTTTCTACATTCCCAAAGCCTTAGTGGACCTTGGAGGCCATGGACCAGAGATCATGCACCTACGTGACCCCCAGTGCACAGGTGCCAATTACAATGAGACCCACTACGTGTTTTGGACCTCCTATGACCTATGCGGCACAACCTTCGAGGTAAGAAGGCGAGCGTAAGTTGATAGTATCTAAGTGTCCATTGTTATTGACCAGGTGTTTTTTGGAGTGAAATACCACATTTGAAGCGTGTCTGGCAAAACGTTGCAAACCCATCAATGCTCTTGCGGAAGTCCCCCTGGTAGGGGATTCAATCTGAATCGTGACAGATTTGGGTAAAATTGATTGGTGTGAATATAAGTACATCCACGCGGTAGACATCGGCAAACATCGGCGTATTAGGGTGAAATTTCCTGGAGGACACCTAGGATGAACCGACTTTTTTCAAGAGAGCACTGAAAGCGGCCTAACTGCGTCTTGTCCGTGAATTGTGAACTCAAAATAGGGAATGGGAAGGGACTTCCGAGGCTTTTGGACTCCTTTGGGGCAGGCATGTGTCCCGGGTTCCCACCCCATAATTGCAAGTTTATAGTCCAAATGTTATCACAATCAGCACTCTGTGTAGTTACTGCTATACTCTCCTTCATTGATTGTCCGGTTCTGTCTGTGTACGTCCAATGACGGCCGTAAGATGTTTGAACCCCGTATCGAAACATCAGATATTTCGTTGTAACACTTCATTCAATGAAGATGATGTAAAACGTAAAAATTACATTTCATTATTAAACGCATAGAGAATCGGCGTAAAAAGAAAGTGTATGGAAAAGTAGTATAAAAACCTCCATCCCAGTAGTATCAGGGCGAAAACGCTTCAAGGAAGATTTTCAGTTATAAATCCTTCTTTTACTATGTCTTATTCCCGTTATTGGCAGCGTAACGGTACCGATTACACCTACGGCAACACCGTGTACATCCCAGACGAGCCCTACCGGCCTGTGGGGACTGAGGTCACCCGGGCCCCTCACGAGGAAATCCGCTTCACCTGTAGCATCCCCGCCAAGACAATCAAAACCCTGCCGTACAATCCCAGCCCGGGCATCACTGGTTATCAGATGTTCAACGGTAGGGCAGACTTCTTGGATACGTTGGAAGACACCACCCTGAGGCTCTTCAACTCGAGATTCGACCAGCCATACGTGGAGGCGGCTCCTCCGCTGGACGTGGCCTTTAACAACAGGCTTTACTTTGAGGGGGAAGCCATGTGCTCAAGTTACAGGAACTGCGACGCGTTCTTCCAGTCCTGCTGGGCCACGACTTCAGAAAACCCTTATAATTGGCCTCGTCATGAACTGGTAAAAGCTGGGTGAGTATGACTTGCCAGGGCCAAAACCATGATTTAAGATACATGACTGAGGGATATGTGGGAAAAGGATAAATATTTGAAGCAAATTAGGTACAAAAAACCTTACATGATTAACCGAGGATTGGATTCGACCTACGTATCTGTACCTTTATAATAATTAAAGGCCCGATTTGAAAATTCAGGCTTTTTATTGTTTCAGGTGCAAAGAAGACTGGACGTTGCAGATTCACAATTCGGGTGCTTCTAACAAAGTCCGATTCTCCGTGGATGCCTTCGCCTTCCTCGGCTGGCGCATCCACGATACGGTGAGTTTAAATGCTTGAGATAACAGTAAACGTTAAGCAAATGATTAAGGGTAGGTATATGTGGAAACATATGGAAAGAGTGATAAATAGACTCAGTGTCTCAGTGTTATATTTGTAAATACATTTTGACGGACGTTTCATAATTATATAAAACTAGAGGCAATGGCTTAACGTAAATACAAGTTCCAATTTTAATAATTTGTCTTCTTTTTGACATTTCGTGATGTGCTTATAATCATTGAAATATATGCTACATCCTGCGTGATTTTGACAGTGGACACACAATTACAGGAAAAATAGGTTCACAATAAACCACCAATGCAAAAAGAAAGTTAAACACAATCTTGTTCGGTGCCCTGACAACCCTCGCTAGTATGGAGTTTCAGACATGAATAGCCGCTGGTAGAAAAGAATGGTCGTACTGGTGAAGACTCCATTAATGTGTGGAAAAGCTCTTGTCACTGAGTGGCTTCACAGCATGTGCAGAGAACTTTTGCCCCCAAAACGTGGCAGTCATGGTTTATATGGTCACCCTCTAACCTAATGATTACCGGGTCCACCTCTTAGCACTAAGCTGGATTCACAGATTATACAGAGAAAGCCAGCTTGGTACCCATAAAATGTGCACATCGCTGTTGTTTTTGTCGTTACAAAATTCGCGCTTTTATTCAGTTAACCCCACAAAATAATGTAGAAGAGTGACAGGCGCAGAATGAAGAGGGTTTAGTCTGTACATTTAGCCTTTTAATTTCAATACAAAAGTAACTGACTGATCAGTTGGCGCTTTTAAATCATTGCAGCTGGTAAGTACATGTAATTGGCACACCACGAGGCAGTACTCTGTTTATTTCTTCCTCTTCAGGTGTTCGTCCACTGCAATGTGTTCGTCTGCCCCTCCAATGATTACTCCTCCATCTGCAAACGAGGTTGTGTGAATCCTTCCTCGACGATCTCTAAGAGGGCCGGCAGTCGTGATGTCATGTCGGTGGTCTCTTCTCCAGGACTGTATTGGCAAGAATAATTGGGGTATACGATTAGACATGAAGTCAGAATAATGTATGGATTGGTTTTGACCCTACGGTTGTATCTGTGCCTATGTTGCTTAAAATTTGTGCATCAATTTTCCTGACGTCCGTAAAGGTTTGTGCCTAATTGTACGTGTGAACTGTATGTCAAGTACTCAATTGTCGTCCTATACTTTGCAGGATTCGTTCAGTACAACATATTAAATGTAAACTCCACAGTACATTTGCATAGAAGTAACCATGTAAATTGGTGTGTAGTAGTTAATTTGCCAGTGATTGAAAATTGCACCAGAAGATTGACTTCTTGGAGTTAACTGATGTCTAAACAGATTGTTTTGATTTGTTTGTTCTTTTGTGTCTTGGTAGTTTACCAGTCTTGTAGTTTTGGGAATACGTTTCGTTTGTGGGGCGAGGCTTTTCAGTCAGTGTTCTTCTCAGTCTAGGTCAATATTTTTATTCCAGTGTATGACATAGAGAAAACTATTATAGCAGTTCCAGTTGAATACTAAAATAAGAAACATCTTATTAGTTTAGGCTAGGCTGAAGTAAGAAAGGCAACAGGAAATCAAACAACTTGCTTTTCAGAGAACAAAATCTGTGAAAATTTCCTTACTGCAGAAGATAGGGCCTAAGGTCATCGATATTTGATTAACCAGACGTTATACGAGGCATCAACTGAAATATCCAAATGGGCTTGACTTTCACGATATATCATAGCATTGTACGTCACGCTTTGTTTACATGTGCTCTTTTCTATAACAGTGAGATGGGACTTGATCCAGATAGCCCCAAGAGAGTACAAGTTATATAAGTAAAGAGAGGGATCATAGTTTTCGGTTTATTCGCACGAAGAGCCAGGCTTAATGATTTCAGTTTGAAGCATAAGACTAGTCTGGTTGGTAGCCGGGCAAATATTGTCTGATGCATTATTGGTTCATCTTTCCCTGAGTGGAGGCAACGATCTCTTTTGGAGAGGCCACGCAAGCTAATTAACGTGTTAATTTTTTTTTCGTCCAAACGCAAAAACTTTTTATATCATATCCTACCCCTGTTCATGCTGAAAAACCTGGTGTAGTCACTAGCTAGAGCTTCCCCTAGCCAAAAAAACTCCAGCCAGCCTCCAGCCAACTGCCATAAGACTGTGTGGTAAGTGGCCCCCTGTGTACAATATGATTATTTACAAAGACGGTGCCTGGGCGGGCCAGGCAGTGGAATGTTCTTATCAGTGACAGCTGTCTGGAACTTGTCAGAGGCCTGTTTCGGCCGTCTATGAAGTGTTATTTTGTTGGGGGGGGTGTTGTGGGGATGGTGTGGCTTGGCTGGCGCGTGGCGAGCCGCCCCCCCCCCCCGAAAATTGGGATAGTCTGGGAAAAGGGCCCCCACCGTAATGTGATGTACTTTTGGTGAGTTTTAAGAGCTGAAGACGCTACGGGACAACCACGGAAGTAGTTAGATACCTTTAGGACGGACTCAGGGCTCTGCAACCCCGAGAAATGATACGGTCTATTCTGGCGAGGCCGGGAACTCCACCACGTAAAAAAAACATACCGCGTCCCAGGGTAATTTATAAATAATATTCTGTAACATTGCTCTAATGACGTCAAGATTTCACATTTAACGGAGTTTTATTGATTTTTTCATCCAATAAAAGCTAGGTTTTTTAAAATTTGATTACAAAGACTAACAAAGAAATTGAATGGAAAGGGATTTGAACCTGCGACCTCTGGAATACCGTACCAGTGCTCTAGCAACTAAGCTACCCAGCCCTATGTTGGTTGCTCTTCCCATTTGTCAATGTCTCTTTTCGGGGGGCGCTATGATTTGTTTCATGTTTGTTTTTTTATTTGATTGTAGTTTGTAGTCATTTTTGCGGAGGTAAAAACGTAAGTTATTTATTCTTTGAGTGGTATATGTCCATTGGAATGCAGCTATTCTACTAATCACGAGACGCTATGCATGCAGCTGCCAGTAAACATTCTCCATGTATTTGCATTCAATTTGTGTCTTGTTTTGCGAGTCATCAGCGTATGTTTACATCACATGTTCGAATCAAATCGTGTGTATTATGGCCCCATGTGCAATTACCGTTCCACAAAAAACTGCCGACTCCATGATCAGTTAGGAGAACACAAATTTAGAGGAAGAGGGCATGACGGGGGGGGGTTAATTTTATTGTTTCTTATATCTTGCATGGAACACAGGATCAAAGGCAGGACGCATCGTGCTCAGGGCGTCGGCTATACGTTGCGATTTCGTTGTCTTTTTTGAGGGGGGGGGACGAGTTCTGTTAAAAGTACCGAATTTTTCTTGGGGCTGTCTATCAGGTGGATTGACATTTACTGGCAGTGGAGATCCAATTGACACTAGTTAGGGAATTGCACCGCACCATCCAGTGATGAAAGTGCATGAAAGTGCGTTAGTAATCTCAGTGAGACAAATTAACTTGCAAACAATGACAAAGTTACAGAAAGTACAATAAAGCTAGTAAATGAAAGAAATAGAAAATAAACAATACTAAAACAAGCACTGAAAGGGTATTTTTTTAAAGAAGATTTCCTTGAGCACCGGCTAGGAGAGTGGAACCTGATAATGCCCTCGTCTGCGGCTCGGGCATTAGTCGCGTCCACTCTTCTGAGCGGTCTTGAAAGACCTGTTAAGCTCACATTTATTCCAATTGGTAAATATCTTTCGAGTCAGAAATTTTTTTTTTTAAATTAAGAATGAAAAATGTTTCCTGAAACACCCCCTGGAGACATGTTATGTGAGGTTCCTCCTGCCTGCAGTCGTAAAGAATCGCCCTACTTAGATTGGCGTGCGCGTGGAGTCCATCGCGGGAGGTGGCGCACAGCCAGCTCGTGCTTTATCAACTGTTAAGACCGGCCACGTGACGGGCTCTTGACCGTTGAAGGCACCCTGCTACTTTAATTGGATCCTCTCATGCGTGCCCAATGGAAAGCAAAAATAATAACTGACGCGTAATGGTGCATGGATGAGTGAATAGCCACCCTTGTTCACGATATACCCCATAGTTCTAAAAATCTCCCCCTTTCTCTCACCTTCTCTCTGTCAAAGTATCACATCCACAGTCGGAGGTAATCATGTCATGCTACAAATCCCTCCCCTTTGGTTTTCTCCAACAGCTCCACCTCCTAAAGATACAACCCCTTTCACACTAACCACTCCTTCAAACTAGCCATCCAAAGCACCCTTCTCCTTCTGTCTATCCAGTCAATGCCAGGTTCTCCAAACTGCCTTTCCTTACTACGTGCCCCCAGGCTCCCATCTCGGTTAAAGATTTCCTTTCCACTCCTACCTTTCTTAATACCTCTTCATTGGTTACTTTATCCGTCAACGGAATACGCAACATCCTCCTGAGGAACGTGTTTCACAACTCTCCAATGCTTTCTAGACTCTGCTGTTAGAGTGCCTCACTGCCATGCATTAATTCTGGATATACAAAGCAGTTTCGAACACGTAACCTGTTCCTCATACTCATGGAACGGTTTCTCAGAATGTTGTCTAATTTTGAGAAAGCTGATTTTGCAGAGTAGTTCTTCTTTTGATTTCTCTGACACATCTGGCATCATCAGTGATCAAGCTTACATCCTTTAAATGGGTGTTATGTTCTTGTTCACAATGCAATGATTACACACTTCTTTATGTAATTAAGCACACAAATATGAAACCCCCCTCTCGTACCTCAGACCTTGATAAGCCCACGTTGCCTGTACTTTAGCAAGACAGATGTTCAAACCCAGTCCACAGAGACCAATTGTTAATTACTTTGTCGAAATATTCTTCCAGGGCAACCCCATAATGCGTCGTCTTTCAACCATCAAAGGATCCAGGAGATGAATTTTTCTTAGAATCATTTTTTGTGTTTCTCTGTACTCTCCTTCCATGTATGAAGACTGGTGGACATCTTTTTTGAGTTACGTGAACTGAACAGTGCACTTTTTCAAACATTAAAAATTGACCAGGCATTTCTGGACAAGTGAGGGCGATATTCAGGATACAGATGTACATCAGTCTGTGATACTTTACACTCCTGCCGCACTTAACATGCAAACGGCGTATTTAAGGGGGCTTTCAAAAATTCTTCTCCCTAGTTAGCACTATTAAATACTTTTTGGTCGTTGGGAAGTCCGAGAAATTCTTCCCAATTTGCCTTAATACTTTTTTCGTCACGACTAAAAGTAGGAGGGGGGTGATTCAATAGTCCATCCCCGATCTAAAAGTGGGGTGATATATCCCCTATCCCCAGGGATTTATACCCACGGGGGTAGCACAACAAACATCGTTTTTTTATATCAAGGATGCAGGACAGTAAATAGGCTGAAAGCTGCTTGCGTTGGGTAAATCACCATTTGTATGCACTCAAATTTCTACGAAATAGAGCGTTATTTGGTCTATGAACTTGAAGATTTGCAGAAAAGACAGGTTTAGTTGAGCAAAACGAATGCCAGCTTGTGTCTTAGTGAGATTTGGAAGAAATCTGTCAGTGAAAACGGTTTATTTTTCCAGAACTGTAGAGCTTCAATATGGCGAGGGCCTGCACGACTGCTTTCTAGGGACGACATTCGGTGGGGAAATTCTTCAAAAGTCATCAGTTGAATGAATATTTTGAAAAGAAAACAAAGAATCATAAAATGAACTGTAATTTGATATGAGCGTCTAGAACGCCTGGGAAACTTCTGGGTATTTCCTTGTTTTGTTTTGTTTTTTTTTTTTTTTGAAGTTCAGGTATTTATCACAGTTGGCTATTCTTTATGGCAGTTTAATTACCGGCCTCAACCTTAAAACTGAGAAATAGAGAACGCAATAGCGTCTCTCGGAGTCAAACAGACAGGCCTATGCTCCCAGATTGTACTGTCCGTAGCTCCAGAAGAGGTATAATCATTATGAGTTCAGGACCAAACCACTGGAGGATTTGTGTTTTGCATTCTCGTGCAGCGGTCTTATATACATGTAGGCCTAAAGAGTAATCCAGTAGGTTGGATAGTAGAAACAAAAGGGCCGCTTGTTGGCGCACGTTCCAAGTCAGTATGCGTACAGCATTATAGCGCCTGTTGCCCTGGTGAAATTTTCTCAATACAAGCACGTGCAATACAGCCAATGGGATTGAATATTGAATTACAGATACTACATTACATCAAGCGTGGCCTGGACTATCAAACGCAACTGCGGGGAAGTTCCAGCGAAGGCTATAATTGACTATCGTTCGACTAACACCGCCAGAATGATGAATGGTTAGGACAATCTAGTCGACCAGTTGGGACCAGGCCCTAGGGCATAGTCGCACCGCTGGTTATCAATAACTGATTTCATTTATTATTACGGAGGGAACCATTCACTTGAAAATAATTGTGAAAGATTTGAATAATCATACACGCTGCAAAAATCACAGCCAACAGGGAAATGTAAGTAACGATGAGATTTGAAAATATAGGCTGACTAGGGTCGTTCAAGTGTAACTGAATTGCACATCTGCATTGTTAAAAAGCAACTGATGGCAGAAACAGCGTACAGCTTTAGCACATTTTTGCCAGTTTATGTCAAAATGCTAGCCTCGTTGCTGACTAGCCCACTTCCTCCCCACCAACAATTCATCAACGGCAAAATCGTCTTCTTGTCACCGATGCTGGATTGTTTTTGGATGGTTCACAGTGCCATCTACCTCCGTTAGGGGCACTTTTTCGGCACGACCCCCCCCCCACCAACAAAATCAATTTGTCAACATTGGTACCAAAGGTACATGCATGTAGGCAATGGGATTATAAAGATTCAGTGTCATCATTTTACTTAATTTAGCGTTTTTTGAGTGTCATATCTGCCACGCTACCACAGACCATCTGCAACATTGCGTTTATGGTGTTGCTATTGTTTACACCCCCAGATCGGACAAAAAAGTGGTGTTAAATTTTTGTTACAGAAAAACGACCCTGGTATCCATATATGACAACACCGGAGCATGGGCGTCGTCAGAAGGAGGGGGAAATCTCTTGGGGGCAGGTAGGCCTACTGATCGGTAGCAAACTGATAGCACAACAGAGGAAGAGGTCAAATCAGATATTGTTTACTCAAATTTATGATCTTCATCAACCTTTCCTTGTTTCATTTTCGTGTCGTTTAGTTTCCGATTCGCATCACAGTTTTTGCAGTTGACAACTACAACCCTCAAATCAACTATAGTAATGATAATTTTTGCACTGAAATCTACACATTCCGTACGGGATAGAAAAATGCAATGCATACGTAATATCAATGTACAACCCCCCCCCCAAAAAAACCCATAATTTTACCTGGAAGATGATTTGAGATAACGAAATGCATGTAATATTTTTAGCAGAAAATAATCAAGGGTAACAATATAACAATTTTATAAAAATATTATCAAGTGCCACCTTGACGGAACAAAATTTTATTCTATTCAACTGTGCTATCTGTTCTCCGTAGCTGTCCCTTTAGGAGCTCCGTAACGTCGTGAACATTGTGCGATTTGACGTCCCCGCCAAGCCACCAGTATGACATGCACTAGTGTGGTTCATATGGCAACACGGCGCATACATTATATCGAAACACAAGCACGAGCTCGTGTCGGGTCTACACTAGTATCCGCATAGAGGGACGCGCGGAAAAAAGGCAGAACCGACTACACAAGCCCCGGGAAAAATGTGAAGGGACATGTTCGGCTCCCCGTCAACCTAGTGCCTTGTCTCCTATATTCCTACATATTGCAGGTAGGTAAATTACGCGAATCTTAAATGTTTGTGTCATGCACTGTCTGTATGGGGTGGTGTCTGGTCAGTCATCGCTTGTAATAATTAAGCCCCTCGTGAGACGGTCAAGTGTCTTATTTATCACACGCTACTAGCTAAGATCCGGCTGAGGAGGACTTTCAAGTTTTCATGGATGTTGTGTGAAAAAGTCATCTTTCAAAGTTTCTACTCAAACTGTGAACAAATTGTTAGGTCTTTTGAAAAATCCTCCGCTTGGCTAATTCGAAAACAACAAACATGCATCTTTAAAAAAGACAACTGGATTTTAAAAAGCCAGTAAATTGCGAAACGAAGCAAAAAAAACAAAACAAAACAAAACAAAAACAAAATTAAAATAAAAATACAAACAAACGAAATCTTAAGACTTAGTCTGTGTTGGCTAATAGAGACATGGCGCATTACTATTCATTTTGGTGTATTATTATTGCCTAAAACTGAACCCTGCTCTGAAAGAGTGAACAGTCAGCTGATTTATAAACACGAAGAGTCCTCCTCCCCGAGTTGCAGCCCCGCCTACAGATTTCGATAGTAATTATAATACCATCAGGCACCCACATTTAATAATGTCATATTGGTGATTACCAGTTGTTTCCATGCTCACTTGTTATGAGAAGTAAACGAAATTTTGCTCTTGTAAAAACCAAACATTGTTATTGTAAGTTTAACAAAGAGGGCATTTGTATACAATTGTATGTACACCGTTCGTTTTATCTGAACATTAAGAATTTCTGTGTAATTGAGAATATTATTGCATCCACAACCTTCTATGTAATATAGGAATTAGTGTGGCGCGAAAAATAATTTCAATACTTAATGAGTAATAGGTGACAGAGGCCAGCGACTATTTTTACGGGTGGCCGTGATCACCACCTTGAACTGGCTCGATTAACCCGCAATCAAAAATGCTTCTGGATGGCTGTTATAATGTCGGGGCCAATAGCTGCTGGCTCATTTGCGAGGGGAGGTATATTCAGTTATTCCAAGCGAAAGATTAATTATTGACTGCCGTGTCAAGTGCTTTGCTAAAAAAAATAAAACTGTTTAATTCGTTATTCGTAGTTCCTCCAGAGGTTGAGATTAGAACATTTATAAGTAGTAGCACAAAGCAGGTGTCATCGGAAAAATTGGGAAGAACTAGAAACTCTATGGTGTAAATGCAAGAGTATTGTTCGGAATATACTTATAGTCCAAAAACTACCAGTATGGTCTGAAAGATCGGGTATAGTGCCTTCTCATGTTTAACATTTCTTATATCTGTGTTTGACCATTGGTCCTGTTTTGGTCATTATATAGATTTTAACAGCAGTTTTTGCAATGATTCAATCGCAGTTTGTCCGAGTCTTCAGAGAGACTCAGTTTTAATCCACGTGCAAGTCCGAATCTCTGGAAATGCTTTTTGTAACTGTCATTCATCCGTATCAATTTTGACTCTTTCAAACAGGCGCGTGGCCTATAGCCAGGGTTTTTTTTCAAAAAGGATTGGTTGTCACGTTTAGATACGATTGCAAACATTCCACTTAGATAAAGGTCGATTATGAATTATTTTTCTTTCAGTGCTTTTTGATCATCCATATTTAACGTCCTGGTATCTCATTTATTAGAGCGTTCAGATTGTGATTTCAGAACCATTAGCACGTTTCATTCTGTCACTTTTCAAATCCCTTGGATTCGCAATGCGCTCCAATATACCTGGGTCGGTGTACTGGAAAAGGTCTTGACCGCAGCTCAATAGACTGCTTGCGTGTTTCTGGTCACCCTTTCCTTTCTTTCCTTGGTTTGGCATATCGTCTCTCAACCCCCCTCCCAGTCTAATTTCTTCGACATTCTTTGTGGTTAATAGGTTAGCCTTGTTAGTAAATATAGATAATGGAAGAGACTGCACTGTTAACAAAATCCTTGTCAAAGAATAGGTATCTTGCTCGACATATTTCAATTAGACAGTAAAAATCCTTGAATATCTGAATTGATATAATTCGTTACCATTTTTTCTAACAACGTATGTCTCTCTATAATTGTGCCTGAATCAACCTTTTTAATCAATTTAGTCATGTTTACCAAGATGTAACTTGAGATGGTAAATTATACAACGAACAGTTCTGATTTTTCAAAGGGTAAAAACTGAAGTTTTTTATTTTAATTATGTCTTTACCATACGCATTCTTGGATAAAACGCCATCACAACAACTAAAAAGAGTTCAGCTTGTAAAAAACTAAATTTTACAAAGATTTAACTAATAACTGAAATAAATCACATACTTTTGGTTTTGCTTACCGTGGAAAGAACGGTCAAGCCGTGAAACTAATCTCTGGAATGCTATTCAAACCCGAAACACCACTGGGTGGGTTGGTCACGGGATGTTGATTATGCCGCCACAATGAAAGCTTGGCAATTGCATAATACATGAAAAAATGATACACGAAAAAAATGCATTTCTACTCTTGAAACACCTCCACCTGCTCTTTAATTGGAATACAAGGTCTGGAAAACTTTCCTAATTTTCCACTTATTCAGACAGAAACTTTCATTGCACGTATTTTCTAAAACACCATAAGCCATAAGGAACTAACAAGTGTTCAGAAACGAGCTTGAATGACCTTCTCAATATATACCGTTAACATATTTTGTAAAGAACTTGCAAAAGAGTCCATAAAGCTGTCCAAATGCTGTTTACACAGTCGCACAAGATGATTTTTACGCGTGTAGTCAATGCATAATAGTGGCAGCAGGCGACGCAATGTCTATCCAGTCCCATACAACTACATTAAAAAAAGAGATCAAAAACGATCATTGTGTTATAAGAGAAGCAGAGCCCGAATCATTGTGAGACTAGTTGACTTAGCCGCAGGCCTGATGGATAATTCTTTGATTTGTGGTCGTATTTCTACCCGAGTAGCATTTGCCATTAATTCATTGAGGAGCAAACAAATAGAGAGCTGAGGCCGCCTCCTATTTTCAAGTTTGGGGCCATTCAAAATTTTCAGTGGTCTGAAAGGCAACATTTTTTTCCAAATAGTGAGTGGGTGAGTCAAGAAAAAAACGAAAATCGGAATTCATTTTTCATAAAAAAACAAACAAACAAACAAACAACAAAAACGTATAAAAAATCGACTTCATGGCATGTACAAGCCATAGAGCTCTGTGAGGAGCTCTATGGTACAACCAAATGCACGTTGAGTTCATGCGCCATACCACCACCGCACGCCAGCGTTCAAATGTCTATGAACATAGTCGACTTCGTTCCCATTTTTGTAACGTGAATGATCCGTATGCATATGCGTAAAAGACATTGGGAGGGGGTGGTTTTTTAAGTAGGCTTGTATTAGTCAGATCTTCGTAGTGGTCAATTTTCGCAAATGTAGCAGGGTACCAGTTGCTAGTTATCGGTTTACACACATGGATTGCTGTTCACCGGCTTTTCCCGCACTGCAACAAGTCATCCCAACATATCAGCTGATGGATTATAAAAAAAAAATCTACAGGGCCCCCCTGCAAAAGGCCAGACCAACAAGCGCATGTGGCCGTCAATGAACTGGGCACACATGTGCAAAGACATATTCGTGTAGTTACCGGTACTTTACATGTGCAAGTGCATACAATTTCATGTAGTACGCTGGACCGGAAGTTTTAATGACAAAGTCACTTTTTTGTTAACCGAAATGGGCGTGGGTGGGGTTTTTGGATTGGCAGGTGGCTGGGTGGGTGGCTGGTTGGGTGGGTCAAAAATTTGGAAAATATTCGAAATTTAAAAACATTGAACAGTTTGAATGGCCCTTTAATGACTCGGAAAATGTGAATTCACAGGGGCTAAGCATGAACCTGTTTTAACTGAGGCTCATCTGTGTCATTCATGAGACAATGCACAATCCCCTTTCATATCTGTTTTCCTTTTTTCTGTGGAACAGACTTGATCCGGAAATTATGACAGTTATTGGCGTTGCCTTGGTAATTTCTGGCCTTACGGCGGCCGGTGTCGGCCTGGCTGCGGTTTGGGTAAGGTTCTGCAGATCATGTGACTTGCAGAAACTCATCGATTACATCTGCAGGCGAAACGAGGAGAGGACCAACCTCATACAAACGGATTATGGCACAGCATATCAGGTCAGTATCTCTCAATGCCAAAGGTTAGTCTAGTTACCTGACCAGCATCCCCTGAAGCTTCTGAGGGCCTTCCTCGAAATTTGAAATACTATCTCACTTGATTTTCCTCCATCTCAGATGTTTTAATGTTCGAGCTAACTGAACACACTCGACCGTCTGGTTCCCGTCAGGAGGTCTGATTTTCAAAAACGTCCAAGTCAGGAATATGAAAATAATGCCAAACTATATGGACGGAAGACGTAGACAAATCGGACGTACCCCCCCAAAAAAAACCCACACTCACATACCTGTTTTACATACAAAGTGTGGACATTCCTTTGTTCTCCTGTGGTTAAGGAAACTTGAGAAAAATGTCCCTTTTTCTCCAACTACGATAACTCTTTCAACCTGGATTTTGGTGATAATTTCCTGGACTGTTCCTCCTCATTTTGCCACAGATAACCTTGATGCCAAAATGCCTCTGAAACTGTTTTTCAGAGAGGGGAAAACATTGTTTGGACATGTGCGAGTCCACACAATGCCATCATACCCTACTTTATGTGGACTTCTTTTTTTGCAGAGGTCCACACTATGTCTGCCACGCATGCACATCCTTGCACACGCATACATTTAAAAACAGAACATGATGCGACGACTTTCTCCACTGTAATGCATACTTGAGACACGATGATTGCACCTGTGAAAATACACGAAAAAAACTGCACAGCATATCTTACGCCTGGCATTGATATTTAGTGCAATATTTGGTTCCAGCGATCTTCAAGAAAACAGGACCGTTAACGGACTTGCAACGAACACTTTGCTATTAGAAGATAATTTTGAAGTTACACGAAAACAGAATTAACCACGTTGGATCATCTTTGGAGGGATGAATTGCACCTTGACTGGTCACAGAATGTTGGCGTCCGAGTGACCAGACATTAATTTGAGGCAGCTAATTAGTTTAAAGGGCGTTGTCAATATTTATTCAAAGATCTGAAATGAAAATGAATGCAGCGTTGCCCATCAATCATGCCTGCCTGGCCAGTCTCTTTTGCTCCGCAAACATCGTTTTAACTTTCAGTCAGTGTTTTAAGTAGGGACCAACCTCTGCGTTCACCTCGCTGGTAACCGTGATGATCTCTCTGAACCGCCAAAATGTCTCCTGGGGCTGTTTGTTGTTCATGGACGTAATAGCGCCCTCAGCAGATTACAAAGGCATACCGGGACTGAAGGTGATCAGTGCAACAATCTTCAACATAATTTTACCTGACACCGTGTGAAAAAACTGAATACCGAGCTGGAATAAAGCATATTTAAATCTTGCTTGTGAGGAATTTGTTGTCGTTTATCTGAAAGCAAACAACAAAGCACATATCTTTGCAGCAATAAAAGGAACAAACATTTCAAAGGTTGAAATATTTTCATTCTGAATGCTGTAGTCCGAACAATGAATTCCTTGAAATTGGCAATAAATCCAACCGGAAAGTACACATTCATTTACCGCTGAGCATTGCACGCTGGATTCTGATGACGCTGCATGACTTACGCTCTCAATATAAAATTTTAAAAGCCAAAGCAGACCAAAAGAAGAAAGGAAAGATCCTGCACAGGAAATGTAAGATTGCTTTTTCGTGAATCAAATGTTAGTGTGTTGTCCTGTACTTTGGGAGGCGTTCATGCATTTGGATGATCTCTGGCGCGTGGAAAAGTAGTGTGTCATATACATATGATGAATGCAGCGCCAATCATTATTTCGCTGTCGCCTTGGCCTCCTTTACGCACTTCAGACATCCAGCATGACTGCATCGTTTACCCAAATGCATGCCACACGCGCCGTCGTCTGGCACGCCCAACGACTAATGAAGTAATTATGCATGCACCCTCACGATCGCGAGCAGTGGACTGACATCAAATTCACCGTCCATTTATCACAATTATTACGGACCTTCCATGCAAATAAAAAAAAATGTTGAGTTGGGTGCTGTCGCTCGTGCTGACATATCGACTGCAGGGAATGACAATGAAATGAAGGCCTACATTTTTATTTTAAAGTTTCAAACCGTTTGTGAGTTTTGGGAGCCAACACTAAGCCAAAATCCAGAAAAACTAACTTGCAACCCGTACTGCAAAGGAGTTAATTTCCTAATCATATCAAATTCATTCGAAAATGTTTCCTAGGTAATAATTGAGTTTATACGTCCTTTATTTTAAGGGCTTTTGCGCTATTTCCTGTTCCTTTATGGATAATCAATTAATTAACTGAAAATATAGGTACTTTAGGATTCTATATCAATCTGAAACAGGTGAGTAGTGTTGCGTAGAGAGACTACAGCTTCTCGTGCAGCCGCCTGCGTGGCAACGGTCAGAAGATGTTGAAATGCAGAGCACTTCCTCCGATGCCCCGATCGATGTGCGCGCGATACGCAATCAAGTGAGGAGGATACCAATGTGCAGTGCACAGCTCGATCTATCTGGGTGTCGACTCACTAATTTATGATTTTTCTCTACCCTGGCTGCTCAGTGCCGAGTCGCACGTCCTGTACATGTACGTGCCACGGCCGCACAACAAAACCTTCCTCAGCCACGCTGGGTATTGCAGTGAATCGAGCAAGCAGTAAAATACGCGAGAGTCTTTTGGTCATCTTTGATTGGTGTAGTGCACGTATGTATACTTGTACAAGCCCTGGGCTATCCTGAGTTTGAATCGGCAGAGGAGCCACGGATGAGCGTTTTTAGAGGCTTGGCAACGGCACCTGATGGCTCAGGTACGGTAGATTACGTAGTTGATACGTGGAGGATGCAATGCAGACACAACAGACGTGTCAAGTCGAGGTGTTGCTCTCGTGGCTATATTCATAATGACGCACGTGTTGTTATCAATAAGGCTCGCGCCGTGTCTTTCAGAGAGGGGTAGTGAAACATTCCCCGCCCATAATAAATACGTAACTACTATTCTTGTCTGAAATTCAGCTACCATGAAAACTGATCACTTGCTTGCTTGTGTGTCTTGTGTTTTCTGTCTTTCATCATATTTGGCCATTTAACTAGAATGTAATTTATCTTAACTGCGAAAATCTGAGGTGTTCCTGGCCGTTTTATAACAGGGTTCTTCCATACATGTGTACGGCAAGCAATGTTTTTATGAGCAATTTGGAAATTTTCCTAGGCACTAAGTTTGCTGAAAAACGTAGCCTCGGTTTGGTTAGACACTGCGACTTGTACAACCGCATAGGACTGTTGAATGCGTAATTTTATTTCACTTTGACATTTGTTTGTTTAATATACATTAAAAATGGAAGATATGTGTTTCACAAGAAAGAGGTGAATTTGATCGGACAATTTAAACTTAATTCACCATGAAGCAATGACCCCTTCCCTTTTTGTCTTGCGTCTCAAACAGGTTGAACCAATTTCCTTACTTTTTATTTCATGCGGGTTGTTTTATCTTCTTTTTTGAATCTTTTTCTTTCAATTACATGTATTGACCATTTCCCATGTCTACTTCTTTCTATTTCCACTTTACGCTTCGGTAATAAATTCTTGTACATATTTGGGTTACTCAATAAAACAAAATCAGGTTTTTACCTTTTGACTCCATTACTTTTAGATACCCTGTGGGATTTCCCATCGAGCATAAAACTTATTTCTGTATTAAAAGAAAATATGTTTACCGTCACCAGGCCAGCGCCATTTTAAAGAGAAGAATTCTGCAGACGGTGTGTATGGCTTGGATGTGTTCCTCAGTTTTTTATCTTTGGTTCATGTCGGTACATTTTCTGCAACTGTCATCAAGAGAGGTCAGCAGGTGCCGAAAATATCACTATAGACATAAAATACTACTTGTACATGTATATGTACAGCGCCCTCTGGTGTGGAATAATTATAGTATATCCAGCCTTCCAATTCCACTCGAAACCGTAATGTACATGCAGCTTACCTTTACTTTCGAGTCCACCGAATTTAGCAGTTTTTGTAAGTGTTTTTCAATGGCTTGGCCCGTGGAAAATTTGTGGTCATACCAACGATATGCTCACACGTTCGTGTGCTTCTTTTGTTCTCGGCAAATACAAAGGATAGTACCCACAAACTGAGGACACTTTTGAAAGGATCATAAAGAGAGTCACGTGAACGATATCACTGAGGACTCTAAAATGTGGTTTTCCCCTTGTAGGTCGACCAATCCACCGACATCTCTGCGCCAGATGATCCTGATTCCGGGGGGTTTGTCGAGTACGAAAACATCTTCGCCAAGGCAGAGCAGGCCATCTCGGCGGCTGCGCAGGAGTCCCACGCGCATGCAGCCAACCTGCTGCCAGACACCGAGCAGCAGGATGGCGCCGAAACCTCGCGCGACGGATCTCCAGACGAGCTGCTCATGCGCAAACTCGTCCGGTGCTACTCAAGCGAATCTCTGAGCTCGGTGACGTCAGAGTCGTCAGTGCAAGAGAATTTCATGAACGTGTAAGTAAAGACTCTCGAGGAACAACTTTCAATGTGTGAAAACACTGGCTGTAAAAGTTGAGCAAGTTGACAGATCACTCTTTCGCAGATTTTTATTTGTCTCGATTCACTTCAATGTTTTTTATGTGCAGATATAAATATTTGTCCTTCTTTTACTTGTATTCATGCAGTCCTTTTAATAACCTTTTCTGTCGTTTTCGTAAGCCTTTGACTACAACCCTTTTTGTGGGGGCGAACAATCTTCATAATCATAATCGCCATGTAATTTATCCCTGAACTCAGTTACGGCATTTATTTTCATTTCACAGTACCCAACTTTTTGTTGGAGAGACAATCACTGTTATATGAAACATTCAAAAGGGAGAAAAACACTGGTCTTCAGGGGTCTTTTGATCTGTGTAGTTTAAGGCACGCGAAGCTCATATTTAGCAGACGCCGAACGAGGAATTTTCAAAAAGAAATTAGGGATCAACACAACACTGTCCCCACAATTTTTAGGGTAGCAATAAAGGAAACTACGTCGGCATTGCAGATTATGAGACAGTCATTACATCATTTTGATGCAAGCAACCTGCTGGCGTGCTATTTCACCTCAGTTTTCAAATTTCAGAGCTGGACAGATTGAAGTCGTCATGGACTACTCGACTGAACAGAACCGCTTCACGCTGACGCTGGTCCAAGCTACGGACCTGAAAGCCAGGGATAATGCCTCACCCTCAGATACCTATGTCAAAGTTCACCTGATGCCAGAACACGAGTTGAAAGGTCAAACGAAGGTAGGAAACATTCTTGAATTTGGGGGAAATACTGCAAGTGGAAAACTAATTTTTCTGAAGGAGTTTAAAAGCTGCTAATCTTTAAAGGAACTCGAAGCTTGGAAATCCCTAGAAATAATCTTCAACTAACTGTTCAATGTTCTGTTATGCTTCTGATAATTACGCGGACAGTGTTACATTTTTCGAAATCAACTTCCCTTAGAAAAGTACTGTGTTCAAAGGGAAGGTACAATTCAAACCGTGCGTAATGTTGCACTGGATGACGTACATTCTAAACAGGAAGCTGGCGTTAATTAAGTTGAAACTTATAATACGGGGCTGCAGTAAATGGAAATATACTTCTGTCGTTTCGAGGTGTACCGCAAAAGTCTGAATCCAGTGTACAACGAGCGCATTACAATCAAGATGGCCAAGGTGGATCTCGCGGATCACTCCCTCAAATTCACTGTGTTCGCCTACGACCGACACGCACGTCACGAGGCAGTTGGAGAAACGGTGCTGAAGCTTGGCGACGTGGATCTGCTGCCTGGACCATTTAGTACCTGGCTCAATCTAAGTGACATAAATGAGGTACGTTTCAGAACATTTCGGGATAGAGCCCTCAGGGAGAAGTGGGAAAAGAGGCACATGTGTTGTGTTTCCCACAGGCCTTGTAAAATCCAACCTGACAAGCTACCTTAATGGGTCTGTGCCCGGCACACAAGACGTGCATTGCTAATTGATGAATCCGAACCATTCAACATTAAAACGTCAACTTGAGTGAATATACATCTCTAAAGTGTATGAAATTTTGAACACCGCATACTAAGCTAATAATTATTTCATCTGAACAACCAAACTAGAATTGCGTGCATTGTTCAAGGCAAGCCGTTTTTCAGTTTCTAGTCATAGCCTAACCGTGTTCGAGTTTACTTGGATGAGGCTAGAAATTTCACTCGAGTTTATTACGGTAGCCGCAGCCACCACCCATAATAGAGTCGTGTGTAACTTTAAATGCCTATTTTCCATATCTTTATTTGTCCAAAACTGAAAGAAAAATATACAGTATGCTCCTCACAGTGCTGTCAAGGGATTTCAATCCAGCTGTAGAAAGTACAGCCCAGATTCACAGATTATTTCCGGGATTCATAGGCCGTGTCTGAGTCCCTTCAATAGACAGCTTATTAACTTGTTCCTTTTCTTTACTCACACAGGACGCATTGTTCCCAGTGCACCCAAACATTGCCCATGTGGCAAAACTCACAGAGTTTTAGACAATATTGCGCACCAAATAGAGCAAAATGTGCCAAAGTTTAAATCGTCTGAGTTTCATCTATTACGATTTTTTTTTCAATTTGTCGAATGTTATTGGTATGATATACGAGGAACCTGTAGTCATTTTCTTTGCATATGCAGGAGTGTTCCAAAGAAAAGTTGATGGGCAAATTACACGAAATGTGAAGAATGTGCACAGATTCAACCCGAAAGTCTTTAATTCGGATTCGTAATTGGGAAAACCTATCCGTTACTTCTACTCATTGCATTTTGATCCCTCGTGCCGGGCTGTGCCCATGACAACGTGACAAAAAGAGATACTCCAGCCTTCTGGCAAATATAGCCTGTATCGCGACCCTGCACGCACGGTGTCGTTTCTTTTCTTTCGCATACTTTTCATGTGCATAATTGAGGAGGTTGAAATACTATCGCAGCCTGGTTGTCGTCAAGGCATTAGCCTCTTTCTCATGTGTGGCCCATGTCCACTAGGTCTCGGCAAAAATAGTAACTCGAAGCACTTCGCCGAGTCTTATTTCGTTGGCATTTAAAAATGATGTATAAAAATCACGCTACATAATAGCAACAGAAAATATAAGAAAATTCAACAACGCGAATACTTACATCTACTCTGGCCGCGGAGAGTAGCAACGTCAATTAGACCACTACGACAGACGGACTTCATAGACAACAAAATGTGTGTGAAAAAGAAATACCTCTTTTGGTTTTCGTTCATTTAATTCAAGAACGAGACCATAAGGTCCATGAACTGGACTATCGTGCTTTGTGACATATTTTGCATGTTATGTCTAACTCGGTAGCAAAATTACTGTGAAATTCTAGGAGGGAACTTTGGGATGTTTTCAGTAGGGAATAGAAAAGGTGACGAATTGCAGGGGCTGGGGGGGCAGGACGCCCCCGCTGGGGGCCTGGGGCACGAGCCTCTGCTGGGGGGACTGGAGGCATGGGCCTCCGCGGGGGGGGAGCAAGTGCAACTTCCCCCACACCACTTTGTGACCGCAATGTCCCATGTTGCAGAAGAATTTTACCATGCTCTGTGGACAGTTTTTGTCAGCCCTATTATCTAGTGTTTTAGTCTTAATGTTGCTAATGTGTGCTCATGTTTCGGGGCGTTCGGGTTCGTTTATTCGGAGGCAAATCCCACTTTTTGTTAGCAAAATAGTTATGCTAATTTTGAAGGGTCAAGTACCGGTAGAAGTTTGGAATGTCACATATTTAGTAGTCTGTTCACCATTTCCCGCTTCTAACCACTATTTCAGTTTTGTACCTGCAACACAAATAGCCATGATGTGCTATATAGGCCTATGTGCAACACAAATAGCCATGATGTGCTCTATAGGCCTATGTGCAACACAAATAGCCATGATGTGCTCTATAGGCCTATGTGTTTGCTGTTTGCAACACAAATAGCCATGATGTGCTCTATAGGCCTATGTGTTTGCTGTCTGCAACACAAATAGCCATGATGTGCTCTATAGGCCTATGTGTTTGCTGTCTGCAACACAAATAGCCATGATGTGCTCTATAGGCCTATGTGTTTGCTGTTTGCAACGCAAATAGCCATGATGTGCTCTATAGGCCTATGTGTTTGCTGTTTGCAACGCAAATAGCCATGATGTGCTCTATAGGCCTATGTGTTTGCTGTTCATTTTCTTCTTACTCAACAATTTCAGAAACCCGCCGACTTGGGCGATATCTTGTTCTCACTGAGTTACCTACCCACAGCCGAACGGTTAACTGTGGTCATTGTCAAAGCACGGGGTCTAAAGTGGACGGAGAACAAAGTCACTGCAGGTGAGTAACTGTAAGGTCATCGAACTTCAGGAAAGGTTAAAAAAATCAAACTAAAGTCCTTTAAACTATAACGCTGACCCGCTAAAATGCGTTAAAGGGCAGCATAGTTGTTAAATTACGTATATTTCTCTAAAATTGAGTTTTGCATTTCTTTACAAACACGGGTAAGGATAGTATAGTGATTTCATAGAATCATCTAAGCGATTCCAACACTGTATACCTTGGTGAATAACATTATTTTTAGACATTGACGTCCTGTTAAACTGGACGTATAAGTTTCCTTTTGAACTACTTTGTGTATTGTAGTCATGGATGGTTGACGTCAAGGTAAAACAGGCTTTAAGACAAGGAGGGAGTAGGTCATGCCTTAATTTGTACATGAACGTCGCTATAGATTCAGGGGATATAGGTCATTACATTGGGAAAGATTTAATTTAGCAAACAATGGAGCATCATTTATTAGACAGTGATAAACAGTACAAGTGAAAGTAATCGATCTCAGTTAATTTACGTTAATACAGTGCAGTGTATACTCACGCAGTCACAGGAAATAAGCGTTTTCATTGATTATGGATTCATTCTAAATAATGACTGTTCAAGTATGTTTTCATAAAAGGGTCATACATTTTTAGCATTCCATCTTCCGTGCAGATCCGTTTGTGAAGGTCTACCTGCTTCAAGGTGGCAAGAAAATAAGCAAGAAGAAATCGTCCATCAAGAGAGGTGACAACTGTCCTATCTTCAACGAGGCCATGATGTTTGCAGTACCTTCCAACATTCTGGACGTAAGATGCTCAACTCATAATTGATAGAATAGTTTATTCAGATTTCTGTGCATGTGTAACTGACCACCAAGAGTGTACTTTGCAATCACAGACAGGAGGCTTTTCCCGGCCGGTTTCTGCCGCAGCAATTTTTTTCTGAACAAATGGCATCAGTTTAACTATACGTTTGTAATGGGTGTCAGCACGATATGAAGGCCCTCAATAAATAATTAAAAATTTATTTTAATAAATAATTTAAAAAAAATAGTTGATGGGGAACGTTCCCACCCGAAATACCAAACAGTGGACATAAGTGACAGTACAACTGCTTAACAGGAAAGTAAATGAAAAGAAAACACTCATCACACCACACCAGAAACCAAGCCAAACAAGAATTTTTATACCCTATATTCAGCATCAAGCTGGTAAACAGCCACACAACAAGAGCAAACACTTCTAATGGCTGTGCTCTTTATTCTAAAACTAAAGAAAAATCCAGGACACTTCATTTCTCTTTCAGGATCCATGCATACAAAACCGGAAATTGGTATTGGTCAGTGACCTGTCACGTGGGAAGATGAATCAAAACTTCGTATCCAGTAATTTATAAGCGCGGCAAGACTGCTCAAGAAAAAAACCTGCAGTTGCAAAAGCCGCACTGGTATTATACAGACGTTTATTTCATCCATTCTACGATGATCTGCGAGCATGGCGATAACTTCTAGGCATGATGATTACATTACTAATCACCGAATTACTAATTAATGAAGTACACAGAAACACCCGTGTCATAACCTGGTTTTTTAATGATCGACCTCGGTGAGCAAACAATTTGTTGGATTCTTTTCTGAACCTATACCAAAAACGCCCAAATGTAAAATAATGCCTGGTTTTGCAAGGTCTTGTGAGTTCCTGACACTTTAATGAACAAGTTATTAAGCAACGGAAGTGCCACTGTGTGATTGGCCTATACAGTGTTGGATTTGAACGTATCCGGTAAGGCTTCTTTTGAAAGACGGGCAAGCAATACTGTAATAAGTCAATGGCTCTTCATCATAGGCCTACATGAAATTAAAGTAGGCTATGAATAGCATTTTTGGATCGCACTCAGGTTTCATACAAGTGATTCCACACGGAAACATCCGCATGGGGATATGGGTGGAATGTGCTCAGTGCCCTTTTTTAAACCTAAAGTCTCCAACACCGTTGTGTTGGCGACCTGATGTGAACATCAGTTAAGTTAACGTATTCTGTTTCCTACCACACTAGTAGTCATGCAGTCGTTTCTTTGTGTACTTTTCATCATACAGAAAGTTACCATTCGAATCACCGTGGCCGAGAACGCTCCCGGCGGAAAGATCCCAAGTATCGGCCACGTGCTGGTGGGCTCGAGTTGCAAGGGTGCCAACTTGACCCACTGGAACCAAATGCTGACCGTCCTGCGCCGTCCGATCGCCATGTGGCATCCATTGCGCAAATAAATACAGTTCAGCACGGTAGCTACCGTAGACCCACTTCTTGTTAAGGAATTTTGTATGGCCGTACTAGGCATTGATGGTAAAGCCGCAATCATTTATTGTGTTACAAATTATCCTTTCTAAAAGAACACTCCTTCCGAGGTTTCTGCTTATTGTGAATGTGCCTGAATCTTTACCTGTGATGTATTTATTCTATCTCGGTTGTGAACTGAAGGAAGCTTAAATGAAATGGCTGGGGTATTTTCCTGATATTTTAAGAAATCTTTTTACCAGTCTGTTATTTCAGCATTGGTTTGTCAATATATTCATTGGGAGTATTTTGGCTACTTCCTTTCTTCTAAGCATTTTACAGTGTGTCTGAAATGCAGCTTTCCACGTGCACGTTTACCAATGTCGAGAACAAACGAAAACACACACTACTCACGTACTCCTCAATATTCGAACATTAACACAAATTAAATGCAAATGCATTAATTTACACTACCATACCTATTTGAAAAGCAAGTACACGTTTAATAATTTTGTAGTTTTTCAAGTCTTTTCACCGTAAAAGGTCCAGTCGGAACCGGCTGATAATACCATCCCGTATATTTCCCCAGTCATTCTATGTTTCAAGAATATCTTGTGCTCTATTTGGTATCACTTAATTACCGATTGTTCACTCTAAAAAGGATCAGTCAAATGTGACTAGAATTCAGTAAAATTTGACTAGCTCTTCAGGGTCAGCTAGGTGCATCTGGAAACGAGTCAATCTAACTTGATTTTTTTTTCAGTCAGTTCATTGATATTTCAAAAGGCATCGAATAAGAATCTTGTCAGAAAGCATGATTTGCCAACGTAAGCTTAGGCGTTTGACTGAATCCGTAGTCAATTTTGAACAACTAGGAAAATTGATCAACATTTTGACTACGTTGATTAAGAGTGTTGGCATGTCGTATAAACTAATATACATTTTCAAATGGTGTAACATGAAAAAAGTGCTGTATTTCATTAAAGGAGACCTGCAAGAAATGAACAACATTAGAAATTAATTGAGATACCTCATTCGTCAACGTGGAACTTAGCATTTGCATGAAACATGAGCCTGCATATCACGCCAACTTCCAATTGAAAGAACTGCTATGATATACCATAGACGCGGGGCGCCCCCCAGTGGCGAGATATTTTGTTGGTCATGTTACAGTTAAATACAACAGCATGTAGCTTTTCGACTTGCTAAGAATTGTTGACTATATCCAGTGACCATAACCCAAACATTGCATGCCAAGTACCCTCAATTGCCATGCGTAAACAAGCTTTATGCTATCTTGGGCCACGCCGTATTTGTTTTAAAAAGTGAATCTTCCAAGGCATAAACTTGAGACAGGAAATTCTCTTCTAATTTTGAGGGGAGAATACTGTACACTTTAATTTGAGCTCGTGTAGCAAAAAGTTTTAAGCGAAACTAAAATTGATCCTTAACATAGTATTATAAGAAAAAGTACCTTTATACTTAAATACCAGCCACTAAAACTGTTTTAAACATACTAAATACGACTTTAACAACAATATGAAATAGATAATCATATTATAATAACAATGATAGTCCTGTGCTCTATTTCTTTAGATTATCCTCTCCTGTTTGCAAAATATCCTTGTCTCAATGCCGTCCCCTGAGCGTTTTCAGTGCAATTGTACCTAAAATCGTGTAATAAAGTTATATTTTTATTTTACAAACTTGTAGATTATCGATAGCTACAAGCCCATGGCAAGTGTATGAACATTCGGATTTAAATATTTAAGTAGAACCTCCTTGTGAGAAACCTACGACTATTTCTTAATTGAAGTTGGTGAATGAATAAATTACTTTTGAGATGAACAAATATGATCTGGTTTTGTGAAATCTGTGGAAAAAAGCATTTGTTTTGTTTTGTTTCACATTTTTCTTTTTCTATGATTTTTCAGCTTGATTTTTTATAAACATTGTTTTGCTGGTTAGGGGGGAAGGGAATGGAAGAAAATTATGATCAATTTTTCATTTGTAATAAATACTTTGTACACTACAAAACCTGGTGTATTGAATTGACAAGATGTGTCAACTTAGCAAGGTGGGGTTGAAACAGCGAACAATAAGTGATGTCGAATTCAGACCAAATGCAAACTTTGCAGAAATGAAGTTTAAATTGCTATGAACACAAACTGTCTCAGCCCATCTCGTCAACACCGATGTGTAGCCGAGAAGGAGGTTTGGGTCCCCAAGCAACAGTAGGTTCTTACCGTATTCAAAAATCAAGGGCCGTTTCCACCTGTATCCATTTGCAAAATAATGGGGCATTGCCGCAGATAAACACTATTGCTGCGATAACAAAGAAGATACGATCCAGTACAGCTGCCACCAACTTCATGTCGTCCATACCCTGTAAAACAAAAGAGTTTATTGTGAGATAAGTAGCTAAAAATTAAGCGTAGGGCTGGGGATCCTGAGAAAACTCTACACTGAAAACCTAAGAACGTTTGACGCGTTTATAAAATACATTAAACATTTGGACACGCATTGGGTTTAGACGTGAACTTGTTTAACATAATAATGTGTTTATGGCGGCTTACAACATGAACATTATTTTCCGCCAATACTCCTTTAGTGCCAATGAAATTCAAATCTCATGTTGTAAGTGGTTAATTTAAACTGCACGTGACCTGTGCATGTCATCGTTATTATGTGCAGTTAATAAACATTGCACCCTTTTTAAACGCGTCAAACTATAAAAGTGTGCCTGTACACATGTTTAGTTGTTTAGTAATAAACACACAAAGGGGTTGATAAGTAAAAAGTGTTTAAAAACCGAACATATGCTGAACACATCCATTAGTTAATCATAAACGTGCGTTGCGTTTGTTAAATTAAAGTGTGTTCAGCATAATGTCGTGTGTGTTTATCTATAAATGTGTCAAAATGTTTTTAACAAGTGTTACAGATTTGCGAAGTTAAACGCTTTTTACAGTGTAGGTTCTATATTAGAAGTAGTGTGAGTTGCGTTTCGTCAAAGAGGATGGTGCTCTGACCCTCAATCTGACCCTGGCTCAAAAAGCAATGTGAACGAAAGATATGACTGTACACACCATTAAGAAAAAGGTTTTAAAATGTTGCTTGAACTTCTTGGGGTTTTTTGTAGCTTTGAGTAATTTATATCTAATTTTACATTTTGAGCAGTATAGTAGGCAAGATCAAATTAATTGTTGAGCTACATTGTAAAATTCATACTGCTTGTCAAGCCAAACATATTTTCTAGGTTTTAGCTGAAATGAATTGTGATGGATTAGTCTCTTTAATGTAACAATTTGTCGTGTTACTTACTACAGCGGAGTTAGACCTAACAAGAGCTTTCAAATGTTCATTGATATTGTGGCGCAACCATCTTGGAATTCTAGCGCCCCCTAGTTTTACTCGTTCTCATTCCTTGCATTTCTGAGGGTTAACTCAGCTATGCATTATGGACATGTAGCAGAGACGCTAATTGTGTATTAAGTTATCCATGCTGCGCTCTGGCGTGATCGCGTGCTCCTTCACTCCTTTGTCCTTGTGTTTGGCAAGTCAGAGATTCCCCTCCACGTGGCTGCGTGGTTGGGCGTGGTAAGAATTCCTGGAATGCTAATATTCAGAAACCTCAGACTTTGTAACTGTCAGTCATTCACCAAAGATGACCGAGTAAGCGCTTTCACGACTTTCACGCACCCGGCTCTACACTTTGTACATGTAACTTCTTATTCTGTATTTACACACGACACTTTAGATTCTTGCACACGACTCTAGCAGGAAGTCATGTGACGCTTTGAGATGGAAGATTCTCATTGGTTGAGCTGTTCAACGACGCTCATATTTTATTAATTTCCTAAGCCTCTAGAATCCTATAAATAGAGCAGATTTTCCCCAGCTCGTCAGTCTGGCGCGGCGGAGCAAACCCTTGTTGCGAGAGCGAAACCTAACGTAGTGCGGCGGTTGGAATCTTTCCGAGAGAAGTGCGATTAGTAACCATTCTTTTGGCGAAGAAATGTAACCATAATTATGAATGCCCAACTAGCTTAGCTTGGACGGATGCGAGAGCGGTACGAACCAGCCCAGGGTGTTTGTGAGAGTCGCAGCGGCCCGTTACCGCTACGTCCGAACCGATTGCCGGGCGAGACACCCCGTGTCCCTCGCCACCCTTGTCCTGCTAACTAGCCCCAGTCCTCCCCGTCTCTACGCTGAGCCAATGGTACACAGTGCGGCGATTCTACTACTGCGCTCATCACATTGCGGTCTGAGCGGCAGTGCGGTCGGTAAATACCGGCGCCGGCTCCGTCCAGCTATTGCTAGTCACCGTGGTGGTCCGGGACAGCTCCCACCACGGCCCGGCCTAATGAGTGTAGCCTAATTGTGCGATGCTACACACACGTACCGTAACCCACTCCGTCTGACTTGCATTTCCAATGGTCCTGCCAAACCGAAGTTAAGATATATACTTGTTTACAACTTCGCTCCTCTATAACTTTGCCTTTTATGTGTTGTATTATGTTAAGCTACACCTTTTTCAAACCCATATTGAACTTTGACGAAAAGTGAGAGCAAAACTACAAAGTTTGACTGTCACCCAAACCCCTTGTTTCCCGTCCACCTGTTAATAAATTGTTGACCCCAAATATCACATCGCGTAGACACTAGTAAAGTCCATGCTACCATTGACTTGATGTTTAGGTAACGCAACAATATTCTTTCTTTTGAGTACTACTTACGTTTTGAGATTCAAGGGCGTCGGAGCTAAGTTTGAAATCTTCGATCGGCTTTTCACCTTCCTTGGCGAACATATTCACAGTCTTGACCGTCTCCACAGCATCCTTGACCTGTTCGGCTGTCTCACCGTGCAGGTCGCCAACCTTGCGTCTCCTCTTGCATCGCAGGCAGACAAGCTGCGGCAGAGTACAGAGGAGAAGGCCCCGAAGGAATCGACTCCGAAGAGGGCCGGGTCGGTGGTGCACGCCCAAGGTGACCACGCTGAGAAGGATCGCCAGGCCGCTCACAACGAAATTGCACTCGATGCATACCAGGAGGAGAGGGGTGTCTTGGCACCCAGTGGCCGGCAGAGAGTCGGCCACAACTAGCCAGAAGACGGCCTGGCCGAGTAACAGTGACACAGCCATAGAGATCTGAAGAATTGAACATTGATCAACGCATTAAATGATAATTCCCACTGATTCAAGTACATTGTGCAGAGGTAGATTAAAAGAAGACGGGACCGGAGATAATGACCTCTGGGAGTGGCCTGCAATTTCAAAACAGTGGTGTCGACCCATGGCTCCAGGTTTTCTGCCCTGCAATTTCTTTTCCGTGATCAGACTGTGAAATAGCTGTTTAAAAATGGTAGACATTGCCGTTATTGGTAAGTGGTGGTAATTCGGGTGATAGTTGAGTACCGATAATGTTTGGGAAAATCGTTGTTTTATACAGTTCACAATTTAAACTTAACCAACGCCGTACATAATATCAACGTGCTGGGTATGAACCAATGACTGTATATATTAGGCACTTATTCATTTATCATTGGTTTATTAGTGTCCACTAATTTAGCCATTAATTTAAAGGATACACCAACAGTGTAAATCATTAGGTCTGTTTATGAGATTCTGAGTCAATTAATGGGAAATGGATTTTCTGAACCCATTTGCAGTATCGCGCGGAACCATCGCGCTCCTGACAATACCAAGAGCTTGTGTGTGCTCGGCAGTTTCTCTTGCTAATTGATAAAGACATCGACCCGATAAATCTGAAGTGTAGTCCACTAAAATTGTCAGGACAAATAAATTCTTCGTTTGGAGAGAGCACTGGATTAAAGAGCAGAAGACAAATATATTAATTAATTAGTTGTAATAAGGGCATCAGGCGCCTGCAGTTATTTTGCTTTACTTGCTCACTCAACAAAAAGTTACTCTCTTTGAATTGAATCTGCATGTAGTGGTCGTGACAAAGCGCACACCAACTCCTTATATAGCACAGCAGAATGGAACTGCAAAGATCCTGAATTTGGAATGGAAACACCGACAGATGGCTTCACAAGCTTGTGCTTAATTGTCTGTCGGAGACTTACGATCCAACTTAATTTATCGTATTCACCTGTTCACGGGCGGAGACAAGAACAGACGGTGGATTTTATTCCCTCACCTTTTCGCCGCTCTCAGGCGTCAGCCAAAACACCCCAAGCGAGATGAGGGTGATGACGGCCGACGGCAGGGCAATGTTCAGCAGGTAATGGTAGGGCAACCGCTCTACTTCCAGAGAGAAAAGCACCTTCGGGTAGGTCAGATATTTGAATGTTTGCGAATGAGCCTCTCCTCTCAAGGTGAGTGTACGCCACTGGGAGGTGGTCTCGGTAGCGTCGATGCGTACTTCCGGCCCAAGCCTCAAGTTGACTATTGGCATCGGCATGTTCTGGGTGGAAAACACCAGAGAGCAATTCTGCCGATCGAAGGGAAACTCCGACAGCTGCATCCTGCAAGACGTTATGTGGATGATGGGACCTAAAGGAGGAGACAAAGACGGAAGAGAGAGAGTAAGGAGGGAGATTCAAGTAGGGTTCGCTCGGAGCCTTATTAAATCAGAGGAGAGCTTCAAAAAGGAACCACTTCAAAGGTAAACATTGAAAAAGCAAAAACAAAACATTCTTACATTTTGACTGCAATTTACCGAGACAGTAGTCCACTGCATGAATGTTAACCATGCTCCGTATAGCGTTTTCCCATCGTTGTGCTTGTGCATACTAAGCCGGGCGAAGCAGGTGGTCAGCATCAATTAACTAAACTAACCTCTTTTGTTACTCTTTGGTGTTGCCACGAAAACTGCAATTGTTTTTAGTGTGTCGCACGAAAGAGTGGACTTTTCCAGTATTGGACATGCAGTTGGTTTCCCCACGACCCAAAGTAAACGCATGCCTTCTTTACAAGGAAGATTAGATGAGGTTTTTCATGGTTGATAATGGTTTGAATGAATGTAGATGGAGTAATACCTTCCAGGGTGACATGGCCGTCCCATGATAACAAGGCTCTGAATATGCTTTCCTGGACAGGATTTTCTACCTTTTCGCTCGCCCTGTTGCAAAAACACACACCGGGAAAATTAATATCTCGTTACATGCCCCCCATTATAAAATACAGAAATACTATGTGTGGGTTCTGGTCATAATAAAAAAAAATGTTATTATTAGATGAGTAGAAATGATCACTTCTGTTTGTCTTATTGAAAAGATACTGATATAAAATTCAATTAATGACTGCATGCCTTTAATGGCAATACCCACTTCTATGTCGATTGGAACTAGACAGCCGACCCATAGCTCAGTGGTCGACAGGTACGACACCGGTAACTGGTATACGAACCCAAGCAAACTCTATTTTCTTCATTAAAAAAAAAAGTACGAAAAGCATCGACCACACAGTACATGATTAAGTAAGTGGGTGAAAGGCAAAAATAAACATTCATACTGACAAGATGAAATCTTGTCTTCACATCATGTGAATTCTTGTCCTTGCAAATTAAGTCTAATCTTGTCGACTTGGCAAGCTGCGAGTGCAGAAATTCATACTGCTGTGTGGGTATCGGATAACAATTTCTTCAAAGGTCTTCGTCCGCTCCAGTGCACTAACTTTAAAGTTTCATGAGCGTCCACTCAATGTTAATCATTAATTTGAACAATGCTAAAATCAAAAGTGCCCTCCAAACTTCCCGGTATGTTCTGAAAATTACACCTTAGGATTAACGGTGCCGCGCTTGATTTGCTCTTTTTCTGTAAAAAAAAGTGTCCTCGAAAAGCGCTCGCAAGTTATGAAAAAGTGTTCGGCATATTGAAAGTGACATCAGCCACTCTTAAATTCTACCTCACAGATCGCTAGGTATGACTGACTCGATCTGGATCGGTAATTTCTGCCCCGTCTGCACGCACACATTATCGCTGCCTTCTGAGCAACATAACGAAAAATCTGTCTTACAAAATGTCTTTAACCTATTTGTAAGCTTGCAAAGATTAAGTATATCACTTACGTGTTAGTCAAGAGAAGCTTTGGCGTCCATATTTCATCCATTGCAAGCGACAGGTAACGCAAATTGCCGTATTTTTGCGGATCCCAACGGATTCGATAATCGTGCCATTGCTTAAAAGCAGAACATATTAACGACAAAAAAGTTGTATCAGCACATCACAGCCAGAGTCGTTTAAAATAAAGCTGGATAAGTGTGGAAGGGGGGGGGTAAGTGGCTTAGTAACAGGACCGATTCACATGGACCATCGAGATTTTGCCTCAAAGAGAGCAGCGCCTTCTGAAATCAACTGCTAATGGCAGTAAACCGGGAGGCTGTAAGCGATGCCCAGACCTGGCAAAACATATGATGGGTAGGAGGTGGACACGAGAGAAAAGAGGAAGCTATTTACTCGCTATAAATTTCTAGGCACCGCATAAATACAGATTTATTTGTAAAGTGGCGGACTGACATATCTGTATTCACGTTTGGAACCCCCAAAAGTGCTCCACTACCGTGGCCTCCGAACTTAAACTCATCAGTGCTCGGATAATTATACCTTTTTTCCCTGTGCACTGTACTGGTGTGTTCGTGGTAACTTCGCGTGAATTTATGGAGGCCAATGTCAGTATGTTCACAAAGGGGAAGTTGAAAAGTTTTTGAATAAGATTTTGAGGTTGTTTTGGTAGCAGCGAGCTATGTGCAATTTATCTTCAAACACTGAACACATTTCTGTAAGTTTAAAAAATTATATACCGGTTTCAAAGAGACTGTATAATAATGAATTCGCGAAAAATTGACCAAAAAGTAATTCTTACCATGATAAACCAAGATGCACCTGTCATTATTTGTTCTTTCTCGTCCTGTGGGAAATGAAAATCATTTCAAATTACATGCCCAAAGTGTTATATCGCATGTTGGATTAGTCTCGTGTCCAGTTTTTACTGTGAATGAAACATGTTCATTTACGGTACCTCACTCAAATGCAGCCAAGAGTTAATGACTGGAGTCAGTGAATAGTCCCTTGTCGACTCTGCTCGACTCGACTGGTTCCCTACGAGTTACTGGCTACATTTACAAATAAATGCTGCATGAATCCCAGCCATGTCCTTTCCCCTCTGTCGGTTGAAACATCAAGTAACCCCGAGTCGAACTTCAAATTTGACCCGACTTGACTGCGCTCTGTAACTCGACCAGAATACACCTTCTAAGTTGGCCTGATGATTCCTTATGATTTGAGTCACTCCACATAGCCGAGTCACAAAATGCAGTGATTTGAACTGCACCTGTGCCACCTTGCACAGTTAACTAGCGAGACCATGTTTATTTATGACCAGCCGTCAAACCTTCCGATAGGAAAGCTCACAGAATTTATAGAAATTAAAATAATTTGGAGGATAACACAACTTTCACCACTAAATTTTGGCGTTAGTGATGCGATAAAATACAATCCGATTGACTCTTTGATGTTTGGCGCGTTTTGACCTATCGCCTTAAGGGCTCATGGAACCTTGGTCTCTATTAAGATTTGGAAGGACTTACCAGTGATATCAAAGCATACATTGCCAGGGACACGTTAACGTCAACGGGCTGGTGGGACAGCAGAACAGGCCGCTCATGAGCGTCGTATTCATCGCTACGGAAGAGTACATGGCGGAGACGCCTCTCTGCTAGAAAAATACTGGAATCGTTTGTGGTGATTGACGCTTCGGCATCTGGGGAAATTAGTAAAAGATCATTAAACTATATAAGCAAACTAGACTTACACTGATAAGCCTATTAAAATATCTATTAAAATTAGGCTTAATTATACTAAACCAAAGTCAAATAGTTTCTCGGAAATCTCCAACAATCGAATGCAGTAAAAAGAAAGAGAACTAACTATGCCATTTTACCCATAAAATCCACAATCTAACGAGCTAATTCAAGTCGACCCGAACCATCTTTGCTGTTTTGTACAATGTTCCATAAATGTAAAACAATAACATAAATAACAAGTTAACACATAAATATATCTTAAGCATATGCAAACAAAGCCAAACAAGGAGTGTTAGTAGCCTGAGTTGATTTTGGAGAAAAGGAAATGAAGAAGATTCAACATGTCACCCAACAATTGTTTTCCACAAATCCTTCCCAATAACGGGCAGGACTTACTGTCAGTTATGTCTGAAAAACAAAATATATGCATTACCAACAAACACCACAAGTGCATATAGCAGCAACGACCAGATGAACTGTTGGCTTGCCATCACCTCATCAGAGACTGATTGCAGTCGCGTGTATAAGTCGCTGCTTTTAAAGAGCACTTAAAACATTTTCCAACGCACTGGTTAATTGAAAAAACGATTGCACCAGAAGACCCAAGGACGAGGATAAGCAAATGTCAGTTACTGTCAACAATGCCAAGGTTTAAATTAAAAGACGAAGGCTAAAGGAAAAATGGCTCGACGGTTTTCATTACCGGATGATTCATTTGTCCTTCACCGATAGGATGAAATGGGCCCCGTGTACTGTCTGTGAGCATAAAGGGTGGTACTCATGCGTAGGACCTACCCACAAGGATTGTAATCGACTGGAGGGAAAAAATGTTCTGTTTCTCCTCGAAGCAGAGTCCCATTAAGATTCGCGGACCTGACAGTCCGTACGCCTAATTACGAAGACAGAGCGCCACGCCCCCTCCCTATTCGCTTTCGCAGAAAAGCTTTCAGACTTTTATTGTTAATTAAGCATCGTTCTCCATGCAGTTTTATTCCAAGTAAATGTAGTTGAGAGATCTGAGCTATTGGCTGTGTCACATGTAAGGGGATAATTCTCTAAAAATGAAAATACCATGCCTATCAATCTTGCAACGAATTGTTGAAAATTATAATCTAGAAATGTCATTCATGTTTGTCAATGAACATCAATTTTTGGGCTAAACGTTCTCTTCTCATTAGCTGTACTTGTCAGCGATAAAATGCAGATCGGTTAGAGTGCCACTTTAAATTTCGGTAGTGGTCACCATGGTGAGAAATTGACCATCCACCAAGGTCATGCATTTGTTACGTTCTGACGTTCGACAAGACCAACAGCCAAGTTTACCCAGAAAGTATACTTATTATTAATCATTTGGAAAGCTTAGTGCAGTAAATACTCTCGCCTGAACCATTATTCATGTTGACAGATACTTTTAAGCCAGTTAATTTCATTAAAAGGTTCTTTCCCATTCACTAGGTTCCAACTGTCGATGATATAAGGACAAGAGCTATATGATCTTTCAAGCGACCCTAAAATTTAAAATGATTTCTGTTCTTTTAATTTTCCAGCAGATCGGGTGGTTCTGGCAAAAGATGGATACGCTGCCCCCAACACATTTGTTTCTTATATGTCTATACTGTGAAATCTTTCCCGCATAAGGTGGGTTTATTGGAAGGGGAATTAACTATTCAATGGGTTTTATCAAAAATTAATATTTTCCATTTGATGCCTCCAACTGCATGAGCAAATAGTTGCAACACAAGAGGACTGGTCTCGGAGTTTTGAATGTCTTTTTTTACTTCTAATTGTGTAGCTGGTGTTTTTTATGAAACATTTTAAAGTTAAAGCTAATGGAACACAATTTATCAGCTTTTTTATAATGTGGGCAAAGTGCAATTGAATTTTAATCCCTAGTAGGCAACAATTAAAGCTGATATCATGTGACCAATCCATGAGTTATTCCTCCTAGTTCTGAGGATGTCCGATTTTCCTGCCACGCTTTTGGCATGCCCAATAGGCTATTCTTCCAGTAGGCCTATCATGTTGTTCCGCCATTTGTTGTACTTAAAACCACTGCTGAAACGACAATATCACCTTACGAGAGGTCGGTGTCATAGCTAGTTTCAACTAGTAAGCGAGAACTTGTTGGCGAATCTAAGTTGGTCTTAAGACTGAATGAGATCCAACAGTCACTGGTTTATACACTGGAACACGAAAATGGAAGGAAAGAATTAAATGAAAGCGAAATATGTTTTAATGTGTATTGCAAAGGCCTGAGAAACTTCTGTTTTTCTGCATTTTTCAAAGTAGGAGCGTAATACCATTTACGGTAGGCTTGACCGCACACCTTTCATACCTAATTTACTTGGCTACGGCTAGACATACACTGTAATACACGCACCTGTGGAAGCTGTTTAGGGGCGGCTTCCGGCAAGATCATGCACGTGTACCCCTGCCCCCAACCCAACCCTTCCCTCCTCCCCACACCCCATTTTCAATTTTGTATGTACTGTATACACTTTATATATTCCCCTGTGTCATTGTACTTGTTTCTCTTGTTGGCCAAATAAATAATAACAATAATTTCAAGGCATAGCCAAGTTCAGATATAGATGCGGCTTGTGTGGTTGAAAACGTCACGCAGATGAGAGGGCGCCACCAATGCACAGACGTGTGCATTGCGCCATTCCAAATTTGATCAAAATGGCGGACACTCGACGACGCCGTGAGCCACGACGCCGCCAAGACGACATTGGGGCTGCTGAAACAGAGGAAGATGGCGAAAATGTATCTGTTCAGAGCGACGCAGAATCTCACTCAGATGCCGTAAGTTAGAAGGGAGCGTATTCGCTCAAACTTGAAAAAAGGCAGTTTGAAAGTAGATGCCCAATATCCGGACCAAAAACGTAAAACGTGAATGATATGACGTGCCTTACCGTGTCGTGCCTTTCTACCGTAGGGCCTACCTACCCCAGGTTGGGCGTTGTCTTCATTTACACTACGACTGACCTCCAGTGTAAAAGTCCTCCTACAATGCGAAATTTTTTGAAACAGTTTGTTCTCGCATTTTTACTTGGCGATAATGCATGGCGCAGACAGCGCAAATGTCGTTAAAAGTAGGCCTACATGTACCTTGAATCCCGAATTCCATAATACTAGGCCTAAATGCTGTGTGGAAATTATTAAATACACCCACAGACAGCACATTTTGCAGGAAATTTTATGAAACTTCAAGCTTTCCGTTGCGATCCATGAACGACCTACGAATACGGTCATCTAATATTACCTGATTACTAGGCCTACATTGTAGGACTCATATGCATTTGCGCATGTGCGAAATGGCCTCCATACTCGGCCGACATTCTGTCAGTTGGGCCCTATGCCATCTAGAGCTAGGTCTACATGTAGGTCTTCCCTCCACTGGAAATATGTGGAGATGCCGTAGTTTTGGAGCCCGTTTATCTACATGTACGACTTCTTCACGCCCACAGCTCTTCTGCACACGCGTAAGGGGCTGTCGGTTACTATGCATTTCGCACATGTGTAAGTACGCGTACTAGATGAACATTGAGTGCGATGGAAAGCAAAATATATTGTCCACAGGCGTATTTAGTAATTTCAACACAGCATTTATGGAATTCGGGATACAAGGCACTTGTGAACAACACTTTAGCTGTCTTCGCCCGGTAAAAATATGAGCAAAAATGTTGAAAAATTTCAGATTGTAGGGGTACTTCTATACCCTGGACATTAGTTGCAATGCCATGTAGATGACGTCTAACCTTCTACTGTACCTACCTACATGTATCTCTACTAAGTGGATCGTTAGTATTTCTCCTTTTCAAGATTTAGACTGGATTGGTCTTACTAATGCTCCACGACATTACATATAGTAAAGTGACAACGGTCCTGAAAAATTCGAGACTCACCAAAAATACCTTTATCACCACCTACAGTAGCATGCCTAGGCCCTTGCTTAGGGCCTACCAGTAGGCCTACATGTACGTAGGATTGGTTACTCTATTATCACGGTAGTTATCACACTTCCCAATCGAAATAAAGATTGCTCACTCACCTTCCTGAATTATCCTATCTTTGTAGTTGTTTACATGCAACTCTTACTTTTTAACTTGATTCATAAAATTTTGTTTGTGGTTCAATTTACTTTCCTCTTCGATAGCTCAGAAAATCTGTGTGCCCACCGCATGCAAGCGGAGGTGGAGTCTCTATTATCAGATTATTGCAGTATCGAGAAACGGTTTCTACGATGGCCTGTAAAGCACTTTGTTTATGAAGAAATAAAGATAAAAAAGATGATTTTGTTTCAGAGGAAACAAACTAGCCTCATTTTATGATACTGATCCATTTTACCTGTAATTGATTCCATTTTTCCAGTCTCCTCAAAGATGCCAAACGCTGAGAAAACAAGATGGGAACAATTGCACTACATCACCTTACTTTTTTAATCCGGAAAGGAATGACTTCATTTTTTTCACCAGAACTTGTTAACCCCAATCTTAAATGTAGCAACAACTTTGGTGGACTCATTCTTTTATCAATGTCCGAAACAATTGATAAAAATGTTTTTTTTTTTAGTTTTAATTCTCCAAGAGTTATAACCATCTTGTTAGACCTGAACTATTTTATTCAAAATTTGTGCGACAAATTCCAAATGTCCATTGCAAATTCTTCAATTTGTATTAGAAAAGCAAAAAAATTTGCGACTATAATGCTAAAGTAATTATTTGCTCATTGCCTTGGCATGGAGGGTAAAAGTATGATTGATGTAAGTTTATTATAATGAAGATTGGGAGTGCACTTTATGCATGCAAAAACGTTTTTCAGAGCAGAAGTCCTTATTTTAACTCTGAAAAACTGGGCATTTTCGCAGTTAAAATGTACTTTTAGACACCTTTGGCCATTTCGAAATTGACATCTGGCAACCCAGCAACAGATATCCAAGGGCAGGGTGGCGTCATAAATAACTTAAAGAGATAGATTGTAGGTAATGACAAACTTGATCAAGGAGAATTTACAAATTTTGGAAAATTTTCATATTTTACTACAAATTGTCAAAACTTATGGAAACATTCAGAATTTTTCTCTCTTTTTCAATAGAACTTATCCTCAGGCCATAAATTATTGATTACGTGGGCGAATATTGCCGATTGGGAAGTCACTGGCATCGCAAAATTCAAATTTTTCCAATACCACGATAATAGAGTTGGCATAATGATATAGGAACAGAGTGATATTTCCGATTTCAAATTCTGTCAAAATCCAACCATTTATGCTTGACACACGCACAACACTTAAACTTTCTGACGCTTCCACCCATTCATACATGTATATATATGCATGCCTTGATTTTGCTAGTGCAATAACTCTATGGAGGAACATGGTCCTCTAACCCTAACTGCCCAAA